GTAAAGCCAAGCCGGGCTTATAGAACCCTTTCAGCACGAGACAAGCGCCCCTCTGTTCCTTCCCAGCGCCACAGGGAGGCCATTCAGCCCTGGGACCGAGCAGATAACATGGCACGCTCTTTGAATCGTTTTTCTATTTACCTTCCTATTTTGTTCCATCATTAAACGGTGTTAGAATTCAACATTAGGACTCCTTTTCTGGCCAAAAGAAAACACCGGTGGCTTGTGGACTGCAATATTTACTCACACAGATGGTTCCAAGAGAGTAGAAAGTCCTGGCCATGCGTCCTTAGAGAGGAGCCGGTGCCATATGCCCCAGCTTCCCCTCCTGAATGCAGGCTCCGTGCCCAGAGGACATCATAAATCACTTGTAATTTATGATGAGCCCAGGCGTGTGCTACACCCTGCTGGTTGGCTGGTGTCCTGTACACATGATGACTGCCCTTTTCCAGAGCATACAGGAGCCTTTTTCAGATGAGCCATAGGACGGAGAGCTGAGGATTTTCCCCTCACCTGGCCCAGCCAAAGAGTAGAGCAAGGAGAAGACAGAAGACTCTTGTTCTTCAAGTTTTGCCACAAGCCTCCCTTGCTTTCTCCTGGATGGGAGGTAGAAAAGGGGCAGAAAACAAGACATTATCATTATCAGCCTATTTTCTTTTATTCATCTCCTAGAGGCCCGATGCATGAAGATTCATGCAAGAATAGGCCTTCCTTTCCCTGGCTTACATTCGCTCCGGCCCAGAGCTGCTTTTCCACCTCTTGCCTTGTCACGTCAATTTGCATATTCCCTCCTTATTGGCTGTGGGTACCACCATTTTTGTCACAGAGTTACAGTCAATTTGCATATTCTGTCTTTATTAGCTAGGATTCCACAAACACACATTATCTTCTGAGTGCCAATCACCTGCAGGGCACTGTTGGAGAGACAGCCGTAAGCAAAACAGGGTTTTGATTCTCATCAAGACTACACTGACACAAAGTAGTAGGTTCTGTGTCAGAAGGTGACATATTTTGCAGGATAGAAAGACGGATAAAAACAAGAAGGGGAACAAGTTATTCCACACTGGGTGTGTAGAAAACGGATTTCTAATAAGGGAACCATGAAGAAAGGGATAGAGTAAGCCATGTGAGTTCTAGGGAAATTGCATCCCAGATAAGGACAGACGCCACCAGCTGAGGTCAGAGAGGCTGGAACAGAGAGAGCCAGGAGAGAGTGGTAAGGAGGGAGAAAAATGAGGGAGGACTAACGTATGGGTCATCTGGAGACCATGCCAAGAAGTTGAGATATTATTGAATGTGAGATAGGCAGCCAGTGGGAATTTTCGGAAGGTTGTTCCTTTTCAAAGATACGATAAACCAGAGTCTAAGCATGAAGTCAGGAAAACAGGGACCCACGCCCGTCACACCTCAGAGGAGTGTGTGCTATTGTCATCAGGATCAGACTGTTAGAACTTTAACTCTCCCAATTGCAGAGTGTGAAACAGAAACTCTAGTTTTCTTGGTCTGGTGTAAAAATCACGCATGCTTTTTAAATTGGGGTAAAGGTGAGTAACCATGAGTCATTAACACAACTGGTGGGAATACTTTTCATGGACAGATCTCGCTCCCTCATCCAGGGATGAGTCGTACAAAGACTCTTCTACGGCATCCGGCAGTGGTTATGCTACAGCTGTGAGCGGGGCTTCCGACATTATCGCTCTTCTTGCAAAGATTAGCATGAGCTTCGGAGTCCAAGAGCAGATGCTTGGGAGCAGGGTCTAGGAGGTTTCAACAGCCCACTTTGTTTTCGGTGAACCGGAGCTAACGCGGGCTGTTTTCTCTGTACAAATATCTCAGTCTAGTCTAAAGCTGTGGGGATCATGAGCTTGGTTGAGGTGATTTCGACTCCTTATGATGAATATCTTCCTAAAAATGCGGGAGATGGATAAGTAGAGGGGGCTCTGCCATAGCGACCACCCTGCCTCTACGTGTGTGCAAGCAGGTGAGCACGTCTCAGGAAAGTTCCTGAAATGACTCTTGCTTTGTGTGGCTGTTGGACCAGAATGAACTCTCAGATTCATTCCGATGCAAAACCTTTCCGAGCCTATGAAAGTGTTCAGTGAATGTGCTCTGCAAACATACAGACACTATATAAACAGGAGGCACATATTTTAAAAGACGAAGAGTGAAATACTTGTTCTGGGAGCGCCGTGGTTGGAACTTAGTGCCCTAACAGCATACCTTCCACGCTCAGTCGCCTGCAGTTTGTTCTCATTGGCCCCAAACACAGTTATCTGCTTTATGTGTTAAAAATGTGCCCAGCCAAAGACCAAACAAATAGCCAGAGGCTTTTTCCTATGGGGGGGGGGGGGCCTGTTGGGAGGAGGGAGAGCCAAGGAACAAAGCTGTGAGTTTTGAGTCTTGGCAGGAAGCCAGGCTGCTACTTCAAAGCTCCGGGATTTACAAGGGAGAAAGAGGAGGGACTTTTAGCCGAGATGAAGTTGGAATTAAAGCAACAGAAAATGTAAAGTTAAAATTAAAGCATGCTCTGGAATCCGTGATGGAATTCTGGGCTCTCAGATGGTTTTTCATAGCAAGGATGTGAAGATTTAAAAGGCTCCTAACGCAGAGATTACAGAAAGGCCTTGATTAATGATACGGGGTCCCACAGCATTTGAGCTGGGTGAGCGTCCTTTAGGGATCATCGAATCTCGTCCTTTGGTTTCCAGATAACGGATCAGGAGCCCTGGAACTTCTGGGGCTGCCCACTGTCACACAATTATTGTGGAAGTTCTGGTGATAGAATCTAGGGCTCCTGACAACCATTTTTGTGGTTTCGGCCACTTTACAGAAGCAGCAAACAATTGGAAGTCATTTCCAAAGAGCAAGGGGCAGATGCCACAATGACTGCCTTCTGCGTCGGCAGTGCAGTTGGCTATCATGATGTGGCCTCATCCCAGGCCCAGGGTGCCGCCTGCATCCTCAAACTCAGCAGCACGGCCTCTGTCCCCCACCCCAGTAGTAGGGGACGAGGCCTGTAAGAGGCCAGCCTCCCCTCAGAGCCCCAACCAAGCGTAGATGGGTCTGTGGGGTCCAGGGGAGACTGCCCCGGCCAGGGCCCTCTGATCACCTGCACGATCTCAGCAGCATCCCACAGTGTCATTGTGGGTGTTGCTGCTTGGCTTCCTGTGCTGACAAGGGTTCCCTGCTCTTTGACCAAAGCCTGAGCAAAGCGAAGCTGTAGTTAAGTAACAGCTCTCTTTTTACCTAAAAGAACAGGTATGAAAGAACAGGGCACGCTGGCCCCCCACTCCCAGATAACTTTGTCCACTGAGACCACAGCATCTAAGTGAGCTGCTGTTACTTCCTTCTGGAAGGGTGGGTGGAGGTGGGGGTGGATGGGTAACCTAAAGGAACAGGGACGCTTGTGTGTCTCTCCATTTGAATCTGTAAGGTGTTACCTTTTTTTCTTTTTCACTGTTTCTTTATTTACTTATTCATTCATTTTCTTGTTGTTTTGCATTCTGATTCTATCCAGAAAAGTTTGACCAAACCTAGAACAAAGAGCACATAAGGCAGTCAATAGACTATAAATGAAGGCAGGTCACTGAGGAGGGGCAAACAGATTTCCCCCATGAATTGTGATATGAAATATGTGTTAAATATTAACTTTTACCCTCACTTTTCTGGAAACCAGGTTAAAAAAGAAATACACCAATCCTAGTTATCAAAAAGGGGGGGAAATTTTCAATTTCTTCAAGAGAGACTAAGTGTTGCTATATTGGGGCTCCTGACGTTACTAAACACTTATTGAGGACTTTGTGGTGTTTAATACAAAGTTCTCAGACCCAGAGCACCCCTCCCTTTTCCTTCCCTTCCCTCCCACGTGTCCTTGCTTCAGGCCACCTGGAGCCCTCTCCCTCTCCGCCCCCAACAAAAAAACATGTTCTTCGTGTTATCGTTGGCTCTGTTTGTGTGTGTCAGGGCATGGCTTGGGATAATTGTGTTGTCCAGGATGTCTTAGGATTTGCAGATGAGAAGATCTAGAGTCGGAATTGTAGAGAGGGTCAGAATCCAGTCCTGCTGCTACTGCCCAGTGTTCTGCCCTTCCCCGAAGATCCCTAAACCCCTTCGCTGGCCCTTTTTGCTGCGTCTGGGTGCCTTTTTGAACAGGGCACCCCAAGGGAAGCATTCTGTGGGGTACACTTCGGGGAATGTTGGCTCTAAGGATTAGTAGGTGGCATACCGTGCATTAATTTTATACACTCTGTAGGGCCCTGAAAGTGGGGGATGGAGCTCGCGGTTACATAGACATGTAGGTTCCAGGAACTAATATTATACACATGGGAGGTGAATACTGAAGTGGCACGCCGAGCTCTGAAGCTCCATTCTGAAGTTGTAACTAGAATTTAGATTCTTCCAGGAGAAAGACTAAACAATGTTGAGAGTCCCACCTCTTTGCATGACTCGACTTCATCTTCCTAAGACAGAATATGTCTGGGGATATAAGAACACTACATAATTGTTTAGTATGGCAAGGAAAAGAGTTACCGAAATCTGATGTGTTGGACTTTTGTAATATGATGTGTGAGAGATAAAACACTGCAAAAGTCATCTCTTATCTCTGGGTTACCTGAATGTTTACTGAAAGTTTGTTGTTTTTTACTGTAAATATGCATATTCTCTATGTACATTTTGTGTTCATAAAAACCTATGTTTTAGAATGCATCATTACTAAAGAAATACTTGAAGGTGAGAAGTAGTTGATATGAAATAATTTGTCTAGATTCTTGGCCCATCACCATCATTGGAAGACCAGACCCAGAGTCTGGGTTTCAGACTGGGGGCTCTTGTCCTTGCCCTTGGCCTAATTGTGTTGACTCCAGTCACATGTTGTGCTAGACAACTAGAAAAGCTGGGGTTTGAGTCCTTACGTGAACAGAATGAATGTATTTGGAATGTTTTTCATAATTATTTTGAGCAATGACTTGATTCTTACATGTGCTTATTCTTTTTAAAAGTATTAGAAAGGAAGATATCCACCAGACAAAGTAGAGAGGAGCTGATAAGAAGGGGAGTTCTTAAGGAATTGCCTGATCAAGGTGAGGAACTTAATCATACATTTAAAATAATTTGATCCTTCATTCTTTGGTCCTTCTTTCAATTTCCTTTGAAACTTAAGATGATCCTGGCCTTTGGGAGGTAAAGTGGTGAGTGCCACCCTAGGAGAATCTTGCTTTAATTCAGAATGCCTTTGTGGGCTGCAATGAATCTCAGGTCTTCCAGAAAAGGAATTCAATGACCTTTTTTGGTGAATCCTTCGCTGTATGTCACTCTAAACCTAAAGCTCTACAAAGGCGCCCTGTAGCTGGAGAGACAGATAAGATGCAAATACTTACGGGACTGCTTCTTATCTCTATTGATGAGCTTCAGTCTTTCCATCCAAATTAACTCAGTTGTTTGGTCAAGTGCTGAGTTGTAGCTTGGCTCCTAACTTTGGTTTCTTAAGTTTATCAGTAAAAGTAAAGAGAGAGAAAAGAGATGATAAACATACCTCTCTTGTCCTTTATAATGCACTCAAATTTACAATCAGTAAGGCATGAGTGGGCAAATTAAAAGTTAATTTGCTTTATCATTCTCTCAAGTAATTTTCCCAGTGTTCTCATTTCTTTGGATCTGTCTCTCACCTTTTCACTAACAATTATTTCCAAGTATTTTTTTCTACCTCTATCTGCTTCCCCTTTTTATCTCGTTTCTTCTAAAAAGATAAGAATAAGATGGAAACTGAGATAGACCCTCAAAAGAAGATTGGTTACTTCTCCAAGTAAATAATACTAAATAATTTTCATTGTCCCCACTACTATTAAAAAACTGAAGAAATTTTTGTTGCAACATTGTTCATTTACCTCCTGCTTCTGCAACATTTACTGGGGCAAATTATTATTATACTTTTATAGAAACAAATAATAAGATATTAAATTGGGTTTGAAATAATAGCACATCTTTTCCTGATCTATTTTCCTTGCAAAGAAATTAACATCTTTTGGCCTTCACTACTTATAAACCCAATGACACGCTTTTTCCAGCATTTGAATAATCCAAGTGGAGCTAAGAAATGTTTTACTATTTTTTTTTTCTTGCTTCAAAGAAAACACGGAAGTCTGGAGTGAATACTACCTTTTTACTTATTTTTATTTTTTTGAGCCCTCCCTCACAATTTTAGGTATTTTATTTTGATTTCTGGCCTGTTATATATTTCTCCATTCCATTTTATGAATGAATTTTGTCTTCCCTAATTTTCTATTACTTTGAAGCTCCTTATTTCCTGCCTGGGACTTTTAAAAATAAAAAATACACATCCTTAATTTTTTTTTTTCCTTGAAGGTGGGCTCACAGTATAAAAATGTCTCCTCTCTAATCTCTCTGGAGGCAGGAGAGGAGTTACAAATCCAGTGAATGCTGCCTGGTCACTTCTATTTCTGTATTTTTTAAAAGGGGAAAAGAAAGGAAAATTTATGATTGAAACTGTTAATGAATATTAAAGATAGAGATTAAAGTCCCATTTTTTATTTAATTAGAAAATTGTAACTAGGAAAGAGTATACTTTTTCTAAAAACAAGTGGCAATTGTTAATCTAAAGAAATGCTCAGTATTGCTTTGTTTTTATTCTTCCTGTTATATCATTTGCTTGATGGATTACAATTAGACTTATTTCCCCCAAAGTCTGACCTCCTTGACCTTTTTATTTACTTTTTGCAGACTGAACATTAAAACTTCTAAGACACAAATGAAGAAAACAATTTTTAACCTAAACATAATGAAATAGGTTTTAATGTTTGGGAAGTCATCAATTACTGAGTTTTACTTTCACCTTTTGCAGAGTCCCTGTAGACAACTATAGAAATTACCTAATACTTGGACATTCCCGATGATGCCTATTGGAAATAGTCTTTCCCTCTTTTCTGCCAAGAGCTGGAGAGAATAGATTTCTGTCATTTTTCCATAAACAGTTATCTTGAGAATTTCAGTCTGTTTTCAGTTCTAGCCAGAGACTGGAAGCTGCTGTGCTTGGTGACAGTCCCCTCTCCTCTGCCATGAGGATTCATTCATTGCCTTGATCTTCCTGGCCTTGTCTTAGCTCTTGACAGTGCTTGTCAATTATGCCCTTCCGCCAGGGAGCCAGACAGACGGTTTAAACCTCTCCAGCCACCCTGCGTTGGACCTTTCCCACCCCACTCCATAGCTATTATTATTATTCCTTTTAAATTACCTTTTTTACACTAAGATCTAACTTTAATCTGAAAGTTCAGCAACTGGTCGTCTCTCTTGAGAAGTTGATGGTCTAGTCCAAGTTCAGTCCTGAACTTCTGGTCTTCCTTTCCATCCTTTCCCTTAGCTTTAACATGAGCGCATGTAGATGTTTTTGCCTGCTTGCCAGCCTCCTTCCCTCTTCTCTCTTGGTGTACTTTCTAGTCTTTTAAAGAGTTACTCACCTTCTGTTCATACCTGATTTTCTCCTGGTCTATGTTCCTATATCAACTATATCTCACACACACTTGTTTGCTGGAAAGAGGGGAAAGCCCTCCCACCCTCTCATCTCCTTGCTTAACCTCTTATTTTTCTGTGTGCTTTCGCTCTTGGTTTACTCTAATCTCAACTCTTTTCTGAGTTTTCCCGTTTCTTTGCATATAAATGCTCCTATAATACTTGGTGTGGGCCTCTTATATAACTTGCAGTCTAGCTTAGCATCTTCTTTTGCCTTCTCTTGCTGAGCTTTTATTTTACTTACACACATAATCTATTTTAAGGACTCAACTTGTTTTAATTCCAAAATAATATACAAAGCTAGAAAGATTTCTCACACACCAATTGATTTCACTTCTTTATTTTATTCTTAACTTACACATTTATTACAGATATGCTTTCTTTTTCTGTTTTTTTTTTTTTATAAGAGTAGCTTTATTTCATATCTCAAAGTAAGTATCCTTTCATGTTGTCAACGATTTCCATCATATGATAATCCAATTTGCTCTTATAATAATAATTAAGAATATTTTGGTTTCTTTTTTGTGTTGACACATACTCTTTAAAAAATGTATTGCCTTAATTTTATTGAAATAGTTAAGATGTACTAGCAATGGTATTGCCTTCAATTATTGTCTATTTTATTTTTATACATGAGTCAGATTAGAAGTGTTGGGAAGTCACATGACTAAGCAAAAACTTTGGCATTTTGAACGTAATATAACTTTATGATATGTATATTTTACTTATTAAAATGCCATGTTTGTTTTTGTCAATAAGGCCAGCTGATTTTATTGTGAAGCCAAAGCCATTTACTCATATTTAATGAAAATTTGGAAGATGGTTTGTTTTATAATGATTGGCAAAATAAGATAAATCAGAATTATATACATTAGCAGTAATTATGCATTCAAGCTTTCTCAGTAAAAACTTCAATTCCTTAATTTTTTATTTTTTATTTTTTGCAATGGTAGCAAAGCTTCATAAAATTTTCCAGGGTTAATCTTTTCAAGCATTTTGGTAGCTGAATGAAGAGTTTTTGCAAAATCTCTTTTCACTTTCCTAGTAATTGTGAATATTAAGGGTTGCACTTGGTTATTTACAATTTAGCTAACATATTAGTATAATATGTTATTAAAGAAATATTTATTTTATTTTACTAAAATAAAATATTATTTTTAGTTATGATTTTTTTTTAAATTTCTATAACTACTTTTTCTGCATTTTTTACTCCTAATATGTTCACCAGGCCAACTTAAAGATTCTTTGATTGGTTATATATAACAAAGTATATGAGTTCATTTCAATATTGTCATAAACAAGATACTGAAAATAAAATTAGCCTTGCTACCATCATTCCTTGAATGTAGAGGAGCAGCTGTACTGCTGCATTAAGTTAACATATCATAGAGGTAATATTCTGCAGATGGTGGTGCTTGGAAAATGGCATATTCTCCCACTAATTGTTTGTTTGCGTAAGTACATTTTGTGTTGCTTGTGTATTTTCATTCACCCTGTGTTTTTGGTGCTTGTTAAAATGTCTGTTCCATTTTTTCAGGTTATTTCTTTTAGGTTCAGTTTCTGAATGACAAAGAGACTGACTCCTAGTATTGACTTCAACAAAACTTAAACACAAGAAGGGACTCCGCTGACCGAGGGTATTTTATCATTAGGCTGATCCATCCGATGATCTGAATGGCATCTGGATGCCCCCTCGATAGCTGCTCCCTCCCAAGATAAAGGATTTTCTAGTTCTTTCATTTGAATGAATTATTTAGTAAAACACAGTGAAATAGTACAGGATGTATTTGGTTCCCAGGGCCTGAAACCTGAACCCTACAGTCCTAGTAACTATGAAGTTGGGTTTTAAGAAAGCCATCCAATTAGACATCTAGGTGTTTCTTTCCCTATTTTAGATGGAGATGTAACAGTTAACTTTGAAAATTCAAATGGGCACATGATACCCATCGGAGAGGAATCTACCCGAGAGGAAAATATAGTAAAATCTGAAGAAGGTAATGGCTCTCTAGCTGAAAAAGCACCAGCTCTGGAGGAAAAGGCAGAAGAGAAGAAAGGTAAAAATCAAGAGAAACCCCTATTCTTTTCCTTCACCACAGCTCAATGTCGAGAATCGGGTCGTAGGCTCCAAATAGTGATGTTAAGACCAGTGGAGAGGAAATTTTCCATACACACAGAGGAGAGAAATGATAACTAGTGAAGAGAAATTGGATAGTTTCCTCAAGTAGATGCATCCATTTTATAAGCACATCATTTTAATTTTTTATTAAAGAGGGCTAATTACCGGTAAGAGTCAGATGGATAGCCTCCTTAATGATTACGGATGTCTGGGAATATTATCTTTTCCTCAGTATCTTCTTTTGGGGAAAAAAAAAAAAAAAAAAAAAAAAAAAAAGCCAGCATTCAGAACATCTTTTTCTGCTGGTTAGACGTGGCCCCTGTGAGCGGCTCAGCTCAGAAGTGGGGGTGTGGCTGGTGCAGGTTCTAGTCCAGGTTCTAAACACTTCTAAGAGAGACTCCGGAATTGTCCCCAGAGATGCCGAGGATTTGGGTTGCTATAATGGCCTAGCTTCTGCTCAGTGATTTGTCTGTGCAATTGGAAGTTTCAGAATATACCAGAGGCAGCTATGGCATTCCCTAAGGGCTTCTTTAAGTCTGCTTTTTAGAGTGACTGTACTGTGGTAAGTTGCATAACTGCAAAATGCATGTCTATAAAGGGCCCCCAGAGCATTCACAGGCCCCTAGTCACTGATTGGTCACCTCTGCATACCACTGCTATTGCGTGCAGGCACCTCCAAGCCTCATACTTACACAAACATGAACTGAAACAACTATAAAGTAAGGCTTTGTGGGAAGTTCTAGATTCCATGCAGCATAAACATGAATCCTCAGGAAACGGACTGTTTCCTTCTGTAATGTCTGCCTCTGAGTTGGTGGATGGCAAAAGTTTGTCAAACCTGGTTTAGGTTCTGTAGGCATTTTGGGAATCTGCTTGAAGCAAACTTTTCTTCTGTTCTTGATCCAAATCCTTCAAAGACAAAGAGAACAAAAGAGCAACCTGCAGACATTGTTGTGACTTAAAACTCATTTACTCTGGAAGTCCATCACCCCTGTTATTTGCATGTAAATTAGCTTTTAAAAATCTTAGAAGCCTCTAGTAATAATTTGTTAGAAGTTTATCATTTTGCTTTATTCAATATTAAGTATACTATGGGACTTGTACTTAGTCTTGTTTCTTCGAAGGACTCTAGTTAAGCTTATAAATAGTGATATGAGAAATTAACTAATATTTTTCAGGATACGATTCCTGAAACCTAAAGAGAAACAGACCTAAATAGATTTTAAGAGGCTTTAGTTGAAAGTATTACTACAAGTAGTGATTTTTTTTTTTATTCCAACTGTCCTGTTTCAACAAACGGTTACATTTCAAGTTCATCTGTGGTCTGTGCCTCGTACATCCTTTGTGCATTGAAGAATTCCACTCTTTATTATGTAACAGTGCCATCTCCTGTGCTCACTTGGTCAGTGTGGGGTGTCCATCAGTGGACTGGCCAGACTTCAAAGGAAGCGTGTCCCTTATCAACCTAATAAGAAGTTGCTGACCAACTTTATGTTGGTTAAACCAGCAGGCCTTGATGTTCTAAAAAGACAATGGCAGACCTCATAGGTCCATGGATATTTGAAAGATGTTTTTGTTTTCTTATTCTTCACTCAGAATTAGTACAGTCACTGCCTTTTTGGTCAAATAAGGTCCAAGATAGCATCTTGCTTGGCTAGTCTGTACATAAGGACATGAAATGCTGGACATGTCATCACACCCTCTGTAAGACCTGTGGCCTCCCTCCCCTGTTTCGATGGTGCGCCCACCAGAGCCCCTCTGGGAAGTAAAATAAATGTCACTCAAAACTCACATCACAAAGTATTATATTGAATAGGAAATACTTTAATGAACGAAGGTAACCATTTATTTCTCTGTAAAGGTGCCATTTAATTCTAAAAACACCGTGATTCACTTTTACATCTGCTCCTCTTCTGATCCCATTTCCTGTTTGAGCGCACTACCTTGCAAATCCACCATCCCAGGTTCTTAATTCACCCTTAATTTGGGCGTGCAGCTCTCCCTTTCCTTTCACAAGAACATCATTTATGCAACTTATCCAAGAGCATTATTTCATCTATTAATTGGTTATGTTTGTAAAACACGTCATGTGTCTTTAAAGCCCGAGATGCTTGTATCTCTTTTTAAAACAGTATGTCAGAACTTTACTATTTAAAGCATCAGTGTCAGAAAACAAAACAAAGCAAAAAAACAAAACAGATAACAAGTAGCCTTCATACTACTCTGTGTGTAGGTTTCACCTCCAGACTATTGCATGAAACGGTGTCTTTGTCGGGCAAAATGAATAAGCAGCCTTTATTAATGAACCTCCTCTGGAAAAGATAATATGCGTAGACTCCATCAACTTATTCATGTCTTCAGGACACATGGCAATAGTTAAAAATGTAACTTGACTGAATTCATTATCTCCCAAATAAAAGGAGGAGTTTGTTTTCTACTAATGTATGTTATTAATAACTATCTGCTAATCACATTCATGGAATAGACACGATGTTTAAAGTGTTCTGCATTTAAAATTTTAGACAAAAGGCGTTTATAATTTAGTCAGAAAAGCATACTGTTTGTGTGGGCACACAGCCCCCTCAGGAATCACCACAGGGTAAACATAAACATCGGCCACGTGGCAAACACGCAGCGGTAACTCGTGGTGTTTGCAGAGAAAGGAGCAAGCCATGCTTCTCCAAGAGCCAGCCTGCGTTCACTGTGTTCATTTTCTACCAGGAGGAATTGTTGTTCCCAAATGTCAAAGAGCCAACCATCTCCTCCTTCCCAAAGCCAGAAGCTGGATTCTTTGGGGGTATGGCTTTAGAATGTAAAGCCATGGGCAGAAAGAGAAGTGATCCCTCAATGGTCTGCCATGAGGCAGAGAGGAAGATTGTGAAGGTTGGTGGTGTGAAAGGGAATAGAGAGAGCAAGTGCTGTTGGTCCGTTTGGCTCTCACCAGACAATATTATTGAGCTTGAATTCCACACCTGACATTATGCTAGGTGCTAACCTTCTAAAGAATAAAGAAGTACTTAAAGAACAGACTTCTGACCACGTCAAATCAATGTCCAGTTATATGTTTTATGTTAAAACTAGAGTCCTGGTGTACGAATTTGTGCATGGTGGGGTCTCTTGACCTGGCCGGTGATTGGGGCTGGCTGGCTAGGGGGAGAGACTTCGGGAGGTTAGCTGTGGGAGCACACTGACCACTAGGGCACAGTGCCCAGGTGAGCATCTGCCCCCTGGTGTTCAATACATATCATAGCTACCAGCCGATCGGCCATAACAGTCACTTAGACTTTTATATATATATATATGTTTTAGGTATGCATTAACTTGTGTTGTTCTCAACCCTAAGTGACTTTTTTTTATTAAGTGGCCTCCTGGTTCAGACCTGGTAGGTGAGGAGAGTCACTGCTTAGTTGGGGAGACATATTGTATAAACAGAAAGGCAAACACAAAGCATCCTCTGATGCATGTTGACCCTGTAGCTACAATCAGTTCACGTTCAGGAGGGGTCAAGTTGGGCTAGAGTGGCTAAGGTGGGTTTCATGGCCGAGGAGGATAAAAGAAGTTCTACTGATTACCTACCATAGCTTGGGTTGTTTTTATGGTGGTTATATAAGTGGTTTGATGGGGATGTAGAAACATGGGGGGTGGGGGATGAAGTCCTCACTTTCTAGGATAAGAAATATGATGCATGCTAATATTAAACCTTTTCTTGCTCATTCAATAATGGGAGGATACATCCAGCGAAGGCTTAGTCTTGTCTGAACACTGTCTTACGATTTTCTTATTGTGCTCTGTGTATAAAAAAATGCTGCTTAGCTCTTTGGACCAGAACTGTATTTTCATGTCAATCAATCACTATTAGGAAAAAAAAATATGTATGTGACTATATGAATGAACATTCCATATCTCCACTTTCAATAATGAGAGACAAATACTATTTCTCCTTCAGCTAGGCAAAACCTTGTGAGAGGTTCATATTCTTAGATATAAAGTTTAACCCTTTGTCTTTTCAAAGTTGTTACGTGTGTTTTTATATCACAAAACAAGCTTGGAATTTTTTTGGATTCTGTCCCTGTAGTCGTGGCCCTGTTAGGACAGAGGAAGCTGTTGTAAGACAGGAAGCCGCCCGACCGCACCAGGAGAGCTTGAGAAAACAGTTCATCCTTCGGTGCATTGTGCTTCCTGTAAAGGGTTCCACAGAGGCTCCCTTAGCTTAAAAAGTTACTGGGTTTTGACAGCACAACCCATCTGGTTGATGGGTGTTAAGTTCTGACAGCAAGGGGACGAAGGTAACTGTGGCCCACACCCCATGGTGGTGGTGTGTGTAACGTGCTGATCAGTCACTCTCGGAGCCCTTCAATTTTGTGAAATTCAGTGTAGCGGTCATGCTCACGCCATCATCCAGCAGCCACCGATTCAAGGCTGGATGAACATTTATATTCATGCTGAACGTAACTTCATCAACATAACTTGTGCAACCCTGTTTTATCACAGGAGTGATGCATGGCCCCAGGCAACACAGCCTGGTTTGGCTTTCAGCCTTCGTTCTGACCCCAAACATTGCTCTCTCTGGTGCAGGACGCCACCCTGGGTCCCAAGGGCCAAGCAGCCGCATGTCTGTATCGCTGTCGCCGTGTGTCTCGCTCCTGCTAACGTATATGGTGTGTGTCTGTATCAGTCTGCTTCTGTTCACTTTCTCATTTGTAGAGAACACTGAAAACCACTCTGAAACACCGGCAGCTCCTGCTCCGCCTCCTTCAACTCTTCCTAAGCCTAAACCCAAACCTAAGCCCCCCAAAACACCTGTGCCTCCAAAAGGGGCTGCTGCTGGGGCCAGCCCCAAGGGTGACGAAGTGCCTCCTATTAAAAAACATACCAAGGCTTCTGGTAAACAGGCCCCCATCCCTCCACCCAAGCCAACAGGCCGAAGCACGACCCGAGAGGCTGGTAAGTATGCCCCCAGTGGGGTTGAGTCTAGGGTGCTCGGCTCTGGGGTGGGGCTGATCTGGATGGTGGCCTTTTGGATATCTGGTGTCTTAGGGTAGAACACCAGTGGGTTCAGCTGTGACACCGAGAACGCCCAGGAGATTTCCTTTGTTGCTATCTCCACCAGAAGAAAGTTGACCAGTTGATTAGTTGACCTCATTAGTTTGGGGGTGAATAGACCTCTTTCATCCTGAGTAGCCACTTATCTACACGAGGACCTTTAGAAAGAAACCGGAAAGCAGTGTGCCTGGTGAATGGCGATGATCTGATATGACATTATTTACACATCATCTGGCCTTCTGCCTGTTTGAATTTATGGGTAGATTATTGGCGTGGGTTTTCTTTCAAAATGTCTTAGGTTTGCACAGAAAAATGTGGCACTGCATCTTTGACATATTCACTGTATTGTATTGGCTTAAATCTGTCCACGTACTTAATCATTTCTCTATTCATAAATGACAAAGGTTGGGTCAGCCCACCACTCTCTATTGAGTCATTACTGTTTTAGCAGAGTTGAAAGTTATATGCTCAAAGCTTTCTCTCACCCCAAACAAAAAACTTCAATCTGTTAGAAGGAAAGCATCCTACTGTGTGGTTACAAGTCACTATTGCAAATCACCAAGGGATGTGCAAAGATATGCTTAACCCAAAGGGAGCACCCATCTTCCAGTGATGTGGAATAAGGAAGCCCACCATGCCACTCAGCTTTTAAAAAACATTATTCAAAGTACAGATGCTAGGTGGCTTTTTGCCGTTAACACGTGCATAAAAGTGCTGTCTTTTAGCAAACCTTATTTTCCCTAAAATCAGCAGCAATGTTCTTGCAATCAGCTACCATGATTTGCCTTGTTGTTGATCTTTTTCCCTTTTAAGTCATACCTGTAATGCTCAAGTTTGGAGAGTGGCTTAGTTGATGGTATGACAGATCTCTCAATGTAGATAGAAGTCTCCTTCCTTGTGTCCCTCTCTTTGGCCTTTGACCTTGACTGTCTGGGTCTCTTCTAATGAGAGCTAAAATGAAATGTCTCTAAATGCCCTGCCAATAATGCGTTCACCCCCTTTGCTGAGGGGCCAGCTGCTTTCACATGTCAGCAACCATTCTTATTGGCATCTATATTTTCCAGACTGCCTAGAACACCTAGGATCAGCATGATGTGATACAGGCTCACACCAGCCTTCCTTGCCTCTTTCTCATATCCCACGTGGTAGTAGCTCACTATGGGCGTGGCTTGCACTTCATTTTCCTTCTCTCAGAAGAAAGCAGATTAATGCCAGGGCAAGGAACAAATTCCCTGAAAGATTTTTGAGTTGTTTCCAGATATTTTATTACTTGAAGATTTACTTACAGACTCATGATGTCCCTAAGAGAATCGTAGTCATGTTGTCCATTATATTTGAAGAGGCCCGACTGGTCCACAGTATATATGAAAATGTTGCTGTGGGGCTGCCACAGAGAAACGGTTGCATTGAAGTATACTATCAAGTCCATCATACAAGGATCCTTTTGTCAGATATTGATAGCACTCCATCGGAATCCAGCTGATATTCTATTTGTAACAATTTAGAACTTTGTACATGGTAATTATTTCACTTGAATAACGTTGACCTTTTGGAAAGTTACCTCAAATGCTGTTCTTGATGTTCAGTCAGATGTTTTGAGTTCTCAAGGAAAGCTATCAGTTAAGATTCCTCTTTTATTACCTATTTAGTATACACCTCCATATGATCAGAGATCTGTTCGGCACAGTCAGCGACATTGCCCATGAAATAAGGCAAAATCTCCTATTTTGTATTCTTTCTGATACAGTGTCATGCTCTGTGATAACGAAAGTGGTTAACTGGGAGAGGTGGCATTTCTTTTTGGTCATGGCCTTCACTCAAGGTGACTTAAGCAACGTGGCTGATTTCAACAAAGTCCTGTTGGAATTGCTATGTGGAAAGGATTATGTTTAATTTACCTAAGAAAATACAATAATTGAACACATTTAGACATCAAATCCTTACCATATTTGTTGTGAAAAATAAGTTTAGAATGGACTTAAATTGCAGGAATTTGCTTAATTTGTCTTCTAAACAAGTGAAGATTGCTAACTTCAAAAAAGTAGGATTAACCACGGCTGGCTGGCTACAGGCACACTGTCCCACCCAGGGGTCCTCAAACTTTTTAAAGTTGGGGCCAGATCACGGTCCCTCAGAGAGCTGGAGGGCCGGACTATATGAACTACTAATTCCTACTGTAACACCTCGGCTGCGCTCACTGCCCAAAAAACCTGGCGGGCCGGATCAGACTCCTCTGCGGGCCGCATGTGGCCCGAGGGCCGTAGTTTGAAGACCCCTGCAACCAGTCTATAAGAGAGAACTAACGATGAAAGAAATATATATATATTGACAGGCCAGAGATGGAGGAGGGGGGTACTGGTTATTGTGTATGTCTAAAATAATAAAGCCCAAGCGATAGAAACTTCTGGGAAGCCTGGATCTTGTCACCAGGTGAGACTGGCTTCCTGTAGTATATCAGAATTGGTGAAGTCTTCCATCTCATTGTCTGTTCCTTTATTTGTTCCTCATCTCGGGACCCTCCCAATTGACTTCAATAAGGTTATAACCAGAGGTAAGTTACAATAACATCTGTGTGCAATTCAGATTGGCTTCACAATACTACCCAGATATTCTCTGATGGCTCTGTGGAAGGCAGTTTAACCTTAAAAGTAGGGGCATACAACATTCTAACAGAAAAAGCAACTAGGAGAAAATGAATAGGGCCTAGAGCTCATGAAACAGAAGTGTGTTCTCATGGGAGTCTGGCTGTATTTCCTAAGATCATAAAAAGAAAAGGAGACCTAACCTTGCTTTTCCTGAAAATAGTTTGGTTAAATAGTGGCAGCTCTATCCAGAAGTAGGCAAGCAACAACACTGACAAAGTCACCAGAGGAACATAAGCAGTTGTCAGAAGATCCAATGGTACTCTTTTTCTTCAAATTATTCAAGTAGTGCCCACCTAGACTTTTTTTTATAGAAAAGAAATGCTTCTGCCTTTGCTATTTCGCAGGAGACTTGCCTTTTACACGTGGCATGTGCTTTCACTCTGTCCATCATCATTGCCCATGGAGGCATGGGCCAGCACGGCAAGCTTCTCGCTGGGGCTGTGCGGAGAGCTGGGTTAGAGTTCATTCTCTTAGCAGTTAAGATGAGAACATTTGCTTTTGTCCCAGAAAGGAGCTGGTGATATATACCCAGGCCTCTTCTGAATGTGGGCCACTCCATTGTCAGAAAGACACCATAGAACATGCATCACTTGTGATGAGCTCATTGTTCTATTCCCCCGACAACTGCCGGTGTCTGTCCTCTGCACATGATAGGGTCCCTACTTTGGAGCATGTGGGGGCTTTTTCAGGTCACCCAAAGGACAAGGAGCTGGGGACTCCCTTTGGCTGGCCCAGGTAAAGACTAGAGCAGGGAGAAACAGAGGACCCTTATCTCTTTGGGTGTTGCCTCAAGCATCACTTACTCCCTCTTTGATTGGAGGCAGGGAGGGGGCAGGACACAGAACCATTATCATTTTCTTTTAGTCACTTTTTTTTTTCAAGACATTTAAAAATTTTAAAGGGAATGTTGTATTGAGCATTGCAGGCCGGGTAGCTTATTTTGAAAGTGTTGCCTTTTCTGACTTTTAATGCAAAATCTCTCTATTTTAGCTGGTTCCTCTCATTCCAAAAAGACTACGGGCTCCAAAGCATCAGCATCACCATCTACTTCTTCATCTTTTCTCAAAACTTCAAAGGAGACAGTTTCTAGCAAAACAGGGACAGTGGGAACCACAAAGGGCAAGAAAAAAACTGGCAAGCGGCCCACGCCTCGGCCATCCTCAGATGCAACCACCACTGGTACGTCCGACCTTAAAGGAGAGCCTTCGGAGGCCAAGGTGGAGAGTCTCAAAACTGAGCCAACGGGCCCTGAGACAGAGGAGCCGGGTACAGGCAAATCCAAGTCTGCAGTCCCTCCACCGCCTGTGAGCCCGCCCCCTCCTCCCCCCATCCCACATCTTGTTCTGGAGGAACCATGTGTTTTTGCAGCAGACACTCCTATTGTCGTGGTCAGCGATGGAGCCGACCTGCCCGATCCCACCTTAGACGCCAGTCAGCTTCTCTGGACTGAAGAGCTGACAAACACAACCACTGTCCACTCAGGCACTGGCCTCAGTGTTAGCAGAGAAAACACAAAATGGTGAGTCGGGGCCCCAATCCCATATTCCCTCTGCTTTCCCCCACCCAAGCTGAGAACTAAAGATCACTAAACCATTCTATTGGAAACGAGGGAACCTACTTTGGGTTTTTTTTAAATAATTTAATCTGGTGATTTGAGATCAACACATGTCATCCGGCCATTGGTTTTGCATAGCCCTGTCCCAGAAAGGCCACGGGCTGGGCACAGTGACTTGGGCCTTTTGAGTACATTTAGAGCTGCCTCATCACTCCTCAGCATTCCTTTTCTCTTCCCTAAGCTGTTCCCTTCCCTTTCCTTGCAGCAGTTATTGTTAAGTCTTTATCACTTGTCTAGGTTGCTCATCTACTCCTGCCTACCTTCATTTCAACAAGTTATTTAGCTGTCTCCTCTGGGAAAATAAAAGCCATCAGTAAAGAACCCCATCAAATTTCAACTCCTTCCAAAGTCAGAGTGGCTCTGTTTCTTTAACTCCCCACCCAACCAAATGTTATCTCCTCTGTGGAGCCTTTCGATGCTCATCCAGGCAGATTTGGTTATTGCATCTACTCTACTCTGACAACGCTTTTTCCTAACGCTGGGACAGAATTAACCAATACATATCTTATTTACTTCAGTATCCCAGCAACCAGTGCAGAAGCTGGTATGCCTCAGGCATGCCTTCATCTAGTTGTCCAAGCCAGAAACCTGGAATTCATCCTAGGGTCCTCCTCCTCCTCTGTTCACTGCGTCTAATTATTCACAGAGTCCTGTACATGTTCTACTTAAAGGTAACTAAGCTGTCCTGCCTTACAGGCTGCCACAGTATAGTGGACACCAATACTGTCTAGTGAAGGCTTAGATCTCTTAGATCCAGCCTCTTTTCTATTGTTTTAAGAATAAAACCAAATTCACTCTTCAAATCACTTAATTTAATATTTCCTCTTTCAAAAAGAAATCTTAATCATGTTTTAAAACATTGATTTGAATCAGTAGACTAACATATTAACTTTACTCAGTTACTGATAATAATAATAACCTTCATTGATTGAATGCCTATTAATGTCGAACTGTCAGTTATTTAATCCACCTTAGCTGCCCTGAAATATTTCTGTTTCATATGTGAGAAAACATGCTGAGAGAAGTAAAATAGTTTGCCCAAGATTACCCAGGTAGTCAGTGGCAGAGCTGAGTATAGACCCAGGATTGCACAACACATTCCATGCCTTAAGTAATTTTATAAACTTCCAAAGTAGTTGCTTCCACTTCTTCTGCTTTTTTTTTAATGAGTTCATTCTTAATTTTTCTTGTTTGCTTGTTTGTTTTATCATCTTGAGCACCATCATTCAAAGGAAAGCCAAGGAATGATAAATAAACGTTAAATTGCAAATTACTTTGTTTGACTTGCTACTAAATGCTATGGGAACAGAAGATGTTGAGATGAACAGTTATGGTATCCCTAATACTTCCAGCACTTAGTAACTGTCTTTATTTAAAGTGAGTGTTTTCCAGCATCAATTCCAACCTTCAGACCTACTCAGTCCTCCTTTCAGCATATGTTTTTGCTTGCCTTCTGTGTGCTGGGCAGTGTAACAAGCACCAAAGATACAAAAGTGAGCAAGACATTATAATTAACACTATTTCTTACCAAAAGGATATCCAACATGGTCAGGAAGTAGGGAAATAATAGAGTATATGTGTTTATTTTTCAGTACAAGATGCAATCTATAAAGTGATTCCTTAAGTGGTCTTCAAACTGAGAAGGCCCGTATCTAGAGGTGATCTGACTGTCCAGCTCACTTCCACAAACATTTAGGGAAGACACTGTGCTGTGTGAAGCACATGCTGCTTGCTGGGAGCTATCTCAGTCTTCAGCCCAAGAACTTGCAGGACTTTCAGACAAGAGAGCTGAGCATCTGCTCTCCATTTCCACTGGGACTGTGATCAGACAAAGTGAACTTAGGACATAATGAGCCATTGGGGTTTGCATAATAGGTTTTCCTGTCACTCAGGGTAACTACCCTGCTTTCCTAGAAGAGAGCAGAGAGATTTTCTTCTTCGTATGTTCTTCAAAATAACGTTAAATTACAGTTCATCCCACAGGGATGGTTTGCGTTTGCTCTCAAGTTAATGAGCCTGAAAGAAGTAGTCTCCCAAATTTCCTTCCAAATTCCTTCTTCTGTTTTTAAGCGGATATCGGAATTTGAATTTCTGGCTCTTAGTCACTTGCTTTACTTAGAACTCTCCCCCAGTTATGTTTAGTCAACGAATGTGTGAAATCCTGTCGTCTTATGAAGGGGCTTCTGTTTGGAATACAAATATCAGAACTTTAAAGAGGACAAGTGGCCATGTGTAAAAATACCTACCTCTGTTCACACATTGCAGGGTGGTAACTGGTAGATTTCCCTTCACTGGCAGCTTCATCAGGACCGTGTATGTCTGATATAACTGAAGGCAGAAACTAATAAGCCTATCTGGAGCTTATATTCATAGAGACTTGAATCTGTTTAGTCCATTTCCACAAACATTCATATGCACTGTATTGTCTGTGCCCAGGGGTCTCCAAATAATGTAAAAGCCAAATCACGAGTTGACTGATATAAATTTGGAGTATACACCGAGTGGCCAGATTATTAAAAATCTCTGAACACATAATCTGGCCACTCAGTGTGTGTGTGTGTGTGTGTGTGTGTGTGTGTGTGTGTGTGTGTATTAGAAGCCCGGTACATGAATTCGTGCATGAGTGGGTCTGGCCAGCCTGGCCATGGGGAGGGGACATGGATGGTTGGCCGGCCTGCCTGCTGCTCAAACTCCTGGTCGAGAGAACAATTTGCATATTAGCCTTTTATTATATAGGATATATACACTGAGTGGCCAGGTTATTATGTATTCAGAGATCATAATAATATAACCCATAATATAATATTATTATAACTTATAATACTAAGCATAAATAAAATATCATATAGCATAACATTTAATAAGTAGACTGAAACTGAAGTCTGAGTTCTAGACTGGACTTGCTTAAGAGTTCATTCTTGCTTATGGCTGAGTAATATCCATTGTACATATGCACTTTAAACCAGAAAGTCTTACCAAGCTCAATAATAAAAAAAAAAGATTACATCCTTAGACATAAATTTCTCCTAAAAAGTCCACTTAACTTCCACACATTGCATCTTGTGTTGTTAATATAGTCTTAAGAAGGCAAGTTTAGAAATGAAGAAGCTAAGCACAGAGAGAAAAAGTACTAAGTCAGGTACTTTGGAGCTCCTAGACCATTGTTCTTTCCACAGAACCCCTATTGCTATGGGAAAAATTAATTTGCAAAATAGTTTTATCATATTCATGTACTAACTATATCAGACACCAGCTAGTCTATCCTTTCATTTTACAGATGAAGAATCTAAAACTTTGAGGATTAAGTAATGCACCCTGGTCTTGCATTTCATTGGCTGGCCTGTACCTGCTTTTCCCTGCTCCAGCCTGAAGGATGCTCACACAACAAGCACTCCTTCTCATGGTGTTGGCGGTGTCCCCGAGGGTTGCTCTGAGCTTTACCACCCCTGTGTTTCTGTGCCTTTGACAGTTTCACAACCAAAGATGAGCTGGGAAAGGCAGCATCTCAGCTACTGGCTCCTGGGCTGATGGGAGAATCCTCAGAATCCTTCAGTGCCCCAGAGGATGAAGGCCAACGGGAGTACCGGGCCACTGATTCGGACTCTGATGGGCCTATCTTGTACACTGACGATGATTATGAAGAGGATGAAGATGAGGACGGCAGTGGAGACAGTAAGACTTTTTCTCAAGAGGTAGGGAGGGAGGAGGGTGGTGGGCAGAAGCAGCGGCATTTTATAAAGAACAGAAGCCTCACCAAGAACCAAACAGCTGATGTTCTCTTTTCCCTCATATTCCTTTCTCAAATTAGAACTGTGTATATCCTGAGGTGTAGCTTCTGATGAAAGGCCTTCCAAAAGAGGATTCCTTGCGGGGTGGGCAATGGGGCGTAGATACACACATTCATATTTGTCCCAAGAGTCAAAGTTTCCTGAGGATGGAGGCAGTTCTCAGGATGATCCAAGTCAGCCCTTTGCTGGGACCTTTCTTGAATAAAGAGCATCAATGCAGGATTCCCTGGATTACACATAGGAAATGATTGAGAATTTCACTTATTTTTTTATGCTGCAGTTTAAGGAGAAGGGAGGGAGAAATGAGTAAAAAAAATGACACATACCTCTTAAGAATTAAAAACAATCACTCCTCCACGCTAAGACTGCGCCTTCTAGGAAGGAATGCTAGTAAAGTGGAGAAAGCCAACCATTTATGTGTAAATGAGGGAACTGGAAAGTGGTATTTTTAAAAAATTTTCTAAGCAGGATGACTTAAGAGGGATTCCTGAATTAAATTCATAGATTATGGAAAGTTATTAGCATGTTAATGATGAAACATCAGCTTGTCAAATTTCTTTCCATTTGTACTGAACAACAGCAAACATTATCATCGATCTGATATTAACTATCATCTGTGGAGCTGTCAGGGATTTCTGGGGTAATTTAGGATTAAAACTTTAGTATAAGCGTAGACTTTTGCCAGAGTGGTTTCTGAGTGGAGGAAGGGGAAAAACAAGGATTTCCTGTACAGTGTACTAAAGGGGCTGCGTTTTTAGACTTGGGAAAGGGAAGGCATTATGCAATCCGTAGTTTCCATGATTCACCATCTCAGCAAAATAAACTTCAAATACCACTTTCCAAATGATGAGGTGATACTTCCAAGTCTTTCATGGGGCCCCAACATTTTCCTGAACGTTTTTAAAAATAGTTATCCAGTTTTTCAAAATGAACTACATCCAACTAAAAAGCCACCCCCTCTCCTCCCCACTCCAAGGCCAATTAAAATTCCCTTATTGCATGTGGACCCAGAATGTGGTCTGGACTCAGTTTGAAGTCCATGCCCCCTGTAACTTGAGTGGCGCCGGCTAACAGGCTCCTTTACTGCATTTCTGCCTTTTCCAATCTCAGGTGCTTTGGCAAGTAAAATCCGACGAAGGGATACTCTTGCTATCAAACTGGGCAACAGACCGTCCAAAAAAGAATTAGAGGACAAGAACATCTTGCAGCGGACATCTGAAGAAGAGAGGCAGGAGATCCGACAGCAGATTGGAACCAAGCTAGTCAGGTAACAGCTGCAATTTTAGTACAGCACCAATGCACCCATACTTTCCCCATCCTGCGGTTTCCAACCTAGGTCATTGTGAATGGCTTGTATAAAGGCACAGCCAGCCTAGCTGGTCTTTTAAAGTTGGTCCTGAATGGTGAAGCATTCAAAGAACTTGTACTTCGGTCCAGCCAGTGAGTGGCTTTGAGGTTGTCAAAGCCTGACCCAATTGTTGACAGACTTTTTCTGTAAAGGACCAGTTGGTAAATAGTTTAGGCTTTGCTGGCCAGAAGGTCTCTGTTGCAGCTGCTCAGCAAGAGCGGCCATAAACAAAACGTAAACATGCAAGTTTCCCACTGCAGCATTATTCATCAAAACAGGAGGCAGCCTCGTTCCTGGGATTTCCAGGCGACTCTGTCCTGGGCTATGAGACTGTGGAAGTAGTAGTTAGCTGCAATGGTCAGCTGCATCCAGGCCAGGTACCACGGCCCTGATGTCGGAAGTTCCCTCCTTTAACTTCAAATAAAAGGTCATCTGACTTCTCTTCCTGCATCCAGCTTTTGATGATTTTTATTTCTGCCACTAGTGACATAGGAAGTCCATTGGACTGGCAGTTTTAATAGAAATGAGTGCTGAAGCTTTCAAGTTTTTAGCAGTTTAAGTGCCAGTCACTTTTCTGACTTCTCCCACCCTGCATACACCACAGGATGCATTAGCCAGGGGAAGGGGACAGATTGTGAGACCAGAGCAGGATCTATAAGTGGTGGGTAGGGGCAAAGAACCAGGAACCTTTAGTTCTCATTGTCAGAAGAATCCGGGCACCCACCTTTCAAGGTACTGTATTAATCATTTATAAGATATCAATAGTTGAAGAAGAAGAAAAGGGAGGAGCCCTGACTGGTTTGGCTCAGTAGATAGAGCTTCGGCCTGCAGACTGAAGGGTTCCAGCTTCGATTCCGGTCAAGGGCCTGTACCTTGGCTATGGGCACATCCCCAGAAGGAGGCAACTAATTGATGTTTCTAACTCTCTATCCCTCTCCTTTCCTCTCTGTTTAAAAAAAAAAAAAAAAAAAAAAAAAAAAAAAAAAAAAAATATATATATTTAAAAAAAAAAAAAAAAAAAAAAAAAAAAAAAAGGGAGGAAACTCCATAAACAAAGAAAGGATGTGTTTGGGGAATGACATAGTAGGGATATATCACACAGGATACATAGGTACACGGATGGCATAGCTTCAGGCTGGCATAGATGGTCACTGGTTTTTTTGTGGGCTCACAATTAAGTTAATTTCAAGGGAGCTTTGATGGAGATTAAACTTGAACAAAAATTTCAGTGAGATATTTAAAATATTATTGATTTCAATAATTTCTATCACAGCCATAAAAACTTAGAATTGATAGTATCTATATTACAGTAAAATTTACCTTTCATAGATATTAATTTGCACACACTCAGCCTACGTCCAGAGGAGGTTTTTGTCTGTGATTAACAACAAATTAATAATATAAACAAGACCCAGAACAAAGTTCAAAAGGGTTCACAGGACATTACGCTCTTGTGTACAACGATTTAGCTCCTAACCACCAATGGGCCTGGCTTGTATTGAGGGCAAATGGGAAGGGCCTTGGTATCTCAAGAGAAGAGATATATACACACACACACACACACACACACACATATATTTGCAATTCACTGAGGTCACAAAAGCAGTATTTCACTTAAAACACTATGAAGTGTAGATTGATCATCTCCCAAGTTGATATGCACTCTCTGGCGGCAGCCTTTTTTAGATCCGAATGACTATGTATGAATTAGGAAAAAGGCTAAGCTGCTGTAACAGAGACTGAGATGTGCAGTGGTCCAAAGATTTCCACGTATTTATTTCTTTTTCATGTAACAGTCCAGAGGTAGGTGGGCTGTCCAGCACAGCTGGGAGCATTGCTCCTTGCAGTCAGCCAGACACCCAGGTTCCTTCTGTCCTGTTGTTCTTCCTTCCCCATGGGTATTCCATCTACATGTTCCCAGTGACTCACTGACCTTATTTATTTATTTGTTTGTTTATTTATTTTTGCCTTAATTTTGCTTATGGAATTTCTTTTTATTTTATTTTATTTATTGTTTTATTTATTAAATTATTATCTGTGACCGAAACCGGTTTGGCTCAGTGGATAGAGCATCGGCCTGCAGACTGAAAGGTCCCAGGTTCGATTCCAGTCAAGGGCATATACCTTGGTTGCGGGCACATCCCCTAGTGTGCAAGAGGCAGCTGATCGATGCTTCTCTCTCATCAATGTTTCTAACTCTCTATCCCTCTCTCTTCCTCTCTGTAAAAAAATCAATAAAAATATATTTTAAAAAAATATTATTATACCATTGCCCCCCTCCTCCCATACATGTCTTTCCTCCCCAGAGTTTTGTGTCCATTGGTTGTACTTATATGCATGTATACAAGTCCTTCGGTTGATCTCTTATTTATCCCAGATCTCCCTACCCTCCCTGCTGTAATTTGACAGTCTGCTTGTTGCTTTACTGTCTCTATATCTATCTTTTGGTTCTTCAGTTTATAATGTTCTTTATCATCCATAAACGAGTGAGGTCATGTGGTGTTTCTCTTTCATTGACTGGCTTATTTCATTCAGCATCATGTTCTCCAATTCCATCCAGGTTGCTGCAAATGATGAGAATTTCTTCTTTTTTATGGCAGCATAATATTCCATTGTGTACCCCAGACCCTTGTGGCTCAGGGGATGGAGCGTCGGCCTCTGGACTGAAGGATCCCGGGTTCGATTTCGGTCAAGGGCATGGACCTTGGTTGTGGGCACATCCCCAGTGGGGAGTGTGCAGGAGGCAGCTAATAGATGTCTCTCTCTCATCGATGTTGCAGCACTCTATCCCTCTCCCTCTGTTAAAAAAAAAAAAAAAAAAAAAAAAAATCAATAAAATATATTTTTAAAAAAATATTCCAATAGTTTTTGGATCCAATCATCTGCTGATGGGCACCTAGACTGTTTCCAAATCCTAGCTATTGTAGATTTTGCTGCTATGAACATAGGGGTGCATATATCCTTTCTGATTGGTGTTTCTAGTTTCTTGGGATATATTCCTAGGAGTGGGATTACTGGGTCAAATGGGAGTTCTATTTTCAGTTTTTTGAGGAAGCTCCATACTGTTCTACACAGTGGTTGCATCAGTCTACATTCCCACCAGCAGTGCACGAGGGTTCCCTTTTCTCTGCAACCTCACCAACACTTGTCGTTTGTTGATTTGTTGATGTTGGCCATTCTGACAGGTGTGAGATGGTACCGCATTGTTGTTTTGATTTGCATCTCTCGGATAATTAGTGACTTTCAGCATGTATTCATGTGCCTCTTGGCCTTCCTTCTGTCTTCTTTTGAGAAGATTCTATTAGGTCCATTGCCCATTTTTTAATTGGGTCATTTATCTTCCTTTTATTAAGTTGTATAAGTTGTCTGTAGATGTTGGAGATTAAACCTTTATTAGTGATAACATTTGCAAATATGTTCTCCCATACAGTGGGCTTTCTTGTTTTGTTGATGGTTTCTTTTGCTGTAAAAAAGCTTTTTATTTTGATGTAGTCCCATTTGTTTATTTTCTCTTTAGCTTTCATTGCCCTAGGGGCAGTATCAGTGAAGATGTTCTTTTGGCATATGTCTGAAATTTTGCTTCCTGTGGATGTCTCTAGTATTTTTATGGTTTCCCATCTTATGTTTAAGTCCTGTATCCATTTTGAGTTTATTTTTGTGTATGGTGTAAGTTGGTGATCTAGTTTCATTCACTGACCATATTTAAATGGAAGAAGAAAAGGCAGAGAAGGGAAAACAGTAGAAATTCCAAACACCATTTCTGCTCACATCCCATTGCAAGAACTTGGTCATATAGCCACATGGTGCTGCTCGGGTGACAGAAAGCTATAGCTGGGGGAGATGGGGGCAATATGGGGTTATAGTTAAAGCTTAAGGAGTTCTGTTTCTGAAAGGAAGAGAGAGAACAATAGGGGTTAGTTAGCAGTCTCAGCCACAATCTCTAGTCTCCGAACTAACAGAAAGGACACTTTGGTAGGTTTAAAAATTAATTTCTGTTTCTCAAAACATGAAAAACCATAGCTTTGTTTGTTGTTTTACTTTGTCTCCCACTAAAGGGGCCTAGTTTGTAACCTGCAGTATATCTTTTTTGTCATCATAGGAGACTGAGCCAGAGGCCCACAACTGAAGAATTAGAGCAAAGAAACATCCTAAAACGTGAGTATCCTGCACTGTTCAGTGATTCCTTGTCTAACCATTAACAAGCTAGAGATGATTCGTTTATCAATAGGAAACCATAATATATTTATTCATAAAAGGTTGAAATGGCCCATTCATATCACATTTATGTGTCATGGTGTATATAATTTTAAAAATAATTTCTTGACATTTGTATTTCATTTTATGGCTTTGAGCCTGATATCCCCCAGACCAGAGACATGGTTGTGACAGTTGTTTTTAAGATGAAATATATTCCATCTATTCTTTCACTAACTATTAAATAAAAGAAAATGCTCTAGTCTGCTTGCAAATATGTACATGTCAAAGAAAAGGCCAGAAAATCCACAAGGAAATGAATCAAACATTCCTATATTATTCTTAATAATACAATTTGTTGCCAGGTTTAACAAACGACTCGATTTAAAACAGACTCATGGTCAAAGCAATTTTTCAATCTATTTCATTTCAGTCCATTTCATTTTCCTTTGTTATGATAACTCTGTTTCCCTCTTCAGTTATTTATAATTTCTCAGCACTTACCGAGTTTTCCATTCATTTTCCAATTTTTTTCCTCTGTTTTCTTTGACTTGACTTTTCACTCACCAGTCCAGTCGTATTTAAATTATTACAGCTCATATGTTAAAGCTATAAGACGAATGGAAGCAGTTTGTCGTGCCACAGTGTATTAATGTGGTTTCTAACTACAGTGAGTTAAGTAATGGATATTTTTAAATTCAGCCACTGCCGTTTTATATGTCATTAACCCAGTTTCAAAAGAGCTTTTTGTTGTATGAAATATCAAAAAGCAGGGATGGGCCGAGCTCCAGATAGAGTACTACAGTAGTAACGGGCCACTGGCATGCGCTGAATATTTTTACCGAGACTTTTAGGGTCAAGTTGGCCTATCTGGATCATCCCCATTCTCCAATCTGAATCCTTTTCTTTTCTCAGGGAAAGTAGGGTTTTAATAGCACAGTTAAACTAAGACAGTTCAACGAGGACTGAAAACAGAGAGGAATCGCCAGGGATTTTTTTCCCTTGGAATCGTTTTCTTTTTTCTGGCTCATTGTGAGTATAACTGGGATAGAACTCAAGAAAGGACTTAAGCAACCATCAATGTATACAAGAGCCAGTTTGGAGGGGAAAAAAGTCATGGCTAGAAAAGAAAAAGAAAAAGGAAAAAAAAGGTAGGTCTTAGCTTTCTAAAAAATAGGATGGCAGCAACACTTAATTTTGGCAACAAAACCAAACCAAAAAGACCCATGGTTTTTGATAACAGATTCCCTGAAAATATTTGAATTAACTTTTAGGTAAGCTCAAATGCAGATCATGAGCTCCTAACACACAGATTCTTTCTTATTGGACGCCTGATGCAATGCCTAGAAAAAAAAGGAAGAGCGAATTCTGGGTAATTTGTTCCAGCTCCTGTGAGATAAATAGTGCCAAACCACACTGGTGTTTGGTTGTTTGAGGAACGGTGGGATAGATCTGGAAATTTATCGCACATCGATCTTAAGTGCTGTGTTGGCTTTTATCCCCCATTTTCCTGGAGGTTCAGGAAAAAGTGAAATGCCAAAGTCAACTTCAGGCCTGACTTCAGCCCTTGTTTACTTCCTTTTCGGTTTGTTTAAGCATGCTTTTTCTGGAAACAAAAGACACATTTGCAGTCTGGGGAGGCAGATAACTGGCCAGTGGTCTCCTGACATAATATTGTATGGCCAAGGGAAGCAAAAAAGAGAACTGGCGGACATCATCCAGAGCATACATATGACACGTTATTCCGCCCCTGCTTGCTTCTCGATTCTTCCACTTAGATGGCTCTTGTTTGTTTATATCTTTCATCTCCAGCATTTGGTCAAGAGCAGTATGAGTGTCTATGTGGAGAAAAGTCTATGTGTAACATGGTGTGGTTTTTAAGGACATTTATTAACTAGGTCACTTTTTTTTTTCTTGACAAATTAGAGGATGAATTCACAGAATAAAACATTCCGCAGTTCTCAAATCCAAGTCCATCACTAAACCTGAACCTGATGACAATGCTGATAGCTCTGTTTGGAACACAGGACAAATTTCATTTCTCTGTTTCATTCCCAGTATCACAACCTGTTTTCTGTCTTTCCCATTTTAGTGCATTTAGCATTTAAAAATACATATAAAGCTATATTTAGTTGTAAATTTTAGAACCAGTTCCTTAAAACTGTTAAAATAGAAAGCATGTTTTGGTGCTTCAAAGGTCAACTTTTGCTCCGCAGAAAAAGTGATATATATGGTGCACCTTTTTCAGGGCAGAGATAAAAGATAAAAGTCCACATACTATTTAGCTGTGACCGTTATTCCAGCTGTGTCTTCTTTAGGGAGAAAAATGTACTAGGCCATTGAGTTCTGCATGAACCATTTTCTATGAACTTTTTTAATCATATAGAAAAGTTGAAAGAATTTTAGAGTAAATACCTATATGTCCACCCTCTATATTCTACTATTGATATCTACTTTATCAATCTTGCTTTACCACATATCTGCCTATCTCTTTTGTGGGGAGGGAGGATGCATTTCAAGTATGTTTATAAATGTACTTCCATTCAGAAACATGTAAAACAATAAAAAGAGAAACAAATCCACAAAAATGTTTGGCTTTTTAAAATTCCATTTTATCTGAATTGATGACTCAAGAATATAATACTCTAGTCTCTGGTATTTCCGAGTTTCTCTTTGTTCTTTCAGTTCGTCCACAAAACGCTCCGGGCAACACTCCTAACTAAGCAGCTTTCCTGTAGTGCACCCTCTCCCCACCCCCCAAACCTCCTGTATTGCTTGTGTGTTTATGGCAAATACTTCCTGTGGCTATTCTGAAATATCCGCCCCTCTCTGCTCTGATGAGAGTTACTGAGGGCAAGATTTGTCAATGAGTCACATCACTTCCTTCATGAATATTCCTCTAGCCCATTTCAAATGACCAGAAAGGTTTATATCCTACTTTATAATTACCCTCTAATAAATCTAAAAGGAAAGGAGGAAACATAAAAATAAAAATAAAAAACTCAGTACAAAATGAAGTTTAAGATTTAATCTTGATTCTTCGTAAAAGATTTTTACAGTGACTTTTTTAATAAGATTCACCTCTAAAACCCCCTTCCTTTAACTTCATTAGAAGCATTCATTTCAAATATGGGGACTATAAGAAAGCCAGCTCCTGTTGTTAAACAAAGACTATCCAAATGGTAAAATCATGTTTATTTAGCTCCCCTAACTGCAAAAGCTCCTCTTCTTCTGTTGCTTCTTCTTCTTCTTCTTCTTCTTCTTCTTCTTCTTCTTCTTCTTCTTCTTCTTCTTCTTCCTTCCTCCTCCTCCTCCTCCTCCTCTTCTTCTTCTTCTTCTTCTTCTTCTTCTTCTTCTTCTTCTTCTGACTGGTTGCCACATAGATATACAATTGCCTGTTTAATAAGGCAAAATTATCTAATAATTCCTTCAAAGATAGGACATTTTGTATATTTTTAGTTTTGAATTGTATTAGATACCCAATTTTTTATCTTTTAAAATTAGATACCAAATTTTTTAAAAACACAGCATAATCATTGTATAGGAAGAATTGACTAAAATGTTTAAGGGTTATATTTTTCTTTTTACTAATAATATCATCAGTAAAATCCTAGTTTGAATAGCATGAGCTGTAAGTTTGGTGTTTGCGTTATACAATCCATATGCCTTATACAGCTCACAAAAGGTAATTATATGACCCTAAGGATGAATTTTAAGGCTACCTATAGTAACTTCATGGGAAGAAATCTGAATTATAACCAAATTTGTTTGACACTCAATAGAAATATACTACCAGTAACTAGTTGTTTCCTATTCTGCAGAGTGATTTCAGTTTATATTCACTCTGTCTGAAAGGCAGGCTAATCTTTCTTTCTTATCAATTAAAATTATTGTTTCAGAAGCCTGTAGAAACTTTTCCCTGTCAAAGTAAGGAAAATTAGTAGAGATTTAGCATGTTCAACTAACAAATTCAGATGTTGCAAATATTGAATGCTAATATTTTATTAATGACAAAAATAATCTTAGTGGTAAGCATATTTAAATTTAAAAATATAATTATTTTTTTCAAAGAGGAGACTTTTCACCATTTTAGCTGAGCTTTTTATATAGTGTAATTTTTCCTTCCGTAGAATTCATAACAGAACTTTCTAAAAGATAATATTTTGTAAGTATTAATACCCAGTAAGCAAAATCTGTGCCCACTTATTGAACAAATGATGAGCTACAGGAAACTATGGAGAGAAATTCATCAAATAAGCAACCATTAAAACCTGAAGGGATGTTTATTTCTTTAAAGTTCTGGACATTTTTCTCTAAATCCCATCTGTTGGACAGCATTCGTTTAGGTTGGCCATTAGGTTGTACTGCTTGGTAAAGCCCTAGAGGAAGAGGAGACGCTGGAAAGTCAAAGTCATGAGAAAATAAATCATCTCCACCAGCAGTACACCATAACCCCATTCAGCGCATTCTGGTTCCAAAGCAACGTCCAAGGAAATGCTTACATTCTGCTTCTATGGAAACCAAAACAGACAGATCAACTATTTTGGTTGGATTTGAATGAAAATCAGCAAGTCAGACATGCATCAGATGGTTCTAATTTGTTATTTTGATATGTCTCGGATTTTCACATGAAGGCCAGATCCAGAAATAAATTTTTCCCTGAATTCTGATCATCGGTGCTTGTAGGCCCGTGAGATGATCAGCAATGAAAGGCTTTCACCAGATGATGGGAACTCTTGTGGGTTTTTTTTTTTGTTGTTGTTGTTGTTTTTCAGAATATAAGAGGAAGTCTGGAAGCAGAAAAGGTTTACAATTTGTAAATAGGCCAGTCATATAAGGAAAAAAATATTATATGTATGTATATATGTATGCATGTACTAGTATACATATACAAAGCAATATAATTATATATGTAATTTAATGGTTGATTTTTCTGCAAAGTATTTTGATAACTTTTTAAAGATTTTGGAATGTTTGATCAATAGCTGTTAAAGTCAAATAATTGTGGCCTGATCTACTTTTCTGATTATAAAATCACATATAATAACCAAGTCTTCATGTCTTCTCTTCCACTAATAAGCAGAAAAGAATGAAGAGGAAGAACAAGAAGCAAAAATGGAACTTAAACGCAGACTCAGCAGAAAGGTGATGAACTACAACTGTTAATGATAGTGTGTGTTCTGAAATGTAGTTCCTTTTTTAAATGCAAATCAATTCTCCACATGTAAATCTGATATTTAGGGATAATTATTCCTGTTAGTCTATTAACTGATCATAGACACTAAATCTATGTAATGAATACAGTATAAATTATTTTTATATTTGTAATTGCATATGTTAATTTTGATGTTAATCAAAACTTTTAAAGTGCATTAGGTGATTATGAAAATAACATGTAATCAGTGTAAGAGATTTTTTAAATGCAAAAGGTAATAAAAGAAAAAAGTCATATAAACTTCTTCCATTTAAAGAGAACCATTATTAACATTTCAATATTTAGTTTTTAAAAATGCACACACTTTCCATATAGTCTTAGAAATATTAAATATTTTGTTGCTACTGAAGATTTGCCACTCTTCCGTGTCTGAGCTGGGTGACTAAATTTTTAAGTGAACTTGACCATCCAGCCTACTGTAGTGCTACCCAAATTGACAAACAGCTTACCTCAGACAGTTGTTCCCACCATTTATGAAAATATAAACCTGATGCCAGAGCTAGCACTTTTTTCTGTGTTAAAATAATAACAGTATTGGGAAAAATTAAGCATGATCAGCACGTACATTTCATTGTACATCTTTGTCCGGTAATTGTTCAGGTATACCTTTCACCCCCGGACAAGGCAGGATGAGTGAAGCATGACATGTGCAGTGAAGTGTGTGACCTGCCCACATTTATCTGGGCTGGTGGGGAGTCCGTGACAGATCCAAGAAACAATCCATTCCCGTGGAAAAGTAGAGACTGTATTTTAAGAGGTTTTGGTTTTGACTTTTAGGGGAGAAGATCCTTTATGGATCTCTGTTTTTTCCCTCAAAGACACTAATTGTTAAACAATGATCAAGCTGAGAAAGACTCTGCGAACTGAATTTTTAGAGCTGTGTCTTCTGGCACCCAGTGGCTAAGTTCCAGCTTTAGATAAGAAGTAGCCCTTCCTCATAGCTCCACACTCACCCTGACATGCATATAATCTTCTCAATCCAGTTGGGCTCTTCCAGGAGGCAGCAGAGCCTGCCCTGAACTCCTGTCCCCACTTGCCTCCTCTATACAGAGCTCCCTGCCACAGGTGCAAGACAGTTTATACCACTAATAACGACCTTGTCACTGGCACAGTCCTGCAGGGCAAGACTAGTTGGAGCCTGGCAGGTGTGGCTCAGTGGTTGAACGTCCACAGTTAGATTCCCAATCAGGGCACATGCCTGGGTTGGGAGCTTGATCCCCAGTAGGAGGTGTGCAGGAGACAGCCAATCAATGATTCCCTTTCATCATTATTGTTTCTATCTCTCCTCCCCTCTCCCTTACTCTCTCTGAAATCAATAAAAACATATTTTTAAAGACTGGATGGAGAATTTCTGACCTGTGTGGCCCTTGGTCACTTGCCTTTTGGCGGTCCCCAGCGGCAAGGGTTTCTCTACCTCCTCAACCCCGCCTTTCCTGGAAAGGCATTAAGAATCTAACAAGAGAGATTAGTCAGTAACTGCACTGCTTAGATTATCCCTTCCTTTGTCCACTGCCCACCAGGACTTCATGAACTAGAAGGAACTGCAGTTTTCCTGTCCCAGCTCAAGTATAGACTCAGGCCTTCTAAGAGTCTTTGAGTGTCTTGAAAGTTAGAGCACTGACTGAGTCCAACCTCTGGTTTTACTCAAAAGAAAACCACGGCCCCAAAACGGGGATGTTTTTAACCACAAAAACATTTTTCTGTGATTGTGCTTTCTTTTTCCAAACATTGAGCCTATGTAAATAAGGAACGCTTCCACAGAGGACTACTTAGTCTGTGGAAAGTCTGGCTCATGCAGGGTACATATATGGAGAGAAAAGATGCTGAATATGAACCCCAAGGGTAAAACAAGCCTGGGTCTACCGGTGTGACAATACTAGGACACCTCCCACTGAGAAAGGCCACACAAACAGGAGCCTCAGGAGCAGAGAGTAGGTGATGCCTGCTGACCAGGGGACCATGTTTCTTTAGTCTCAGAACCATCTCTGCTTTATTCTCAAGCTTGAGAAAGAGCCGAGAGAGGAAAGCAAATACGACAGGGCTGGGGAGATTAGTAGTAAATATAACTACAAATTCCAATTTGACCAAGACCTCAGGAGGAATCCACGTTATTAGAAGTGTCTTGAAAGTTGCAACTGATTTGAAGTAGTTAGGGCCCAGAAGTTCAGTTCTCCAGAAGGCCCCCCTCATACGTGTCAGCTTTTGTGGCCAAGAGTAAATGTCAAGCAGAGGCCTGGGTCCCTAGCCTTTTGTGGAAGAAGGCCATGGACACACCCTTCACTGGACCATTTCTTTGTCATAACTTGGTGCATTTCTGAATGTACAGGTTTAATAAAAATAGGAACCAAGCTTTTTAAAAATATGTATGTGTATATATATATATACACATTTATCTCAGAGAGTAAGGGAGAGGTAGAGAGAGATAGAAACATCAGTGATGAGAGAGAATCATTGATTGGCTGCCTCTTGCACACCCCCTACTGGGCATTGAGCCAGCAACCCAGGCATGTGCCTTAACCGGAATCGAACCTGGGACTCTTCAGTCCGCAGGCCAACGCTCTGTCCACTGAGCCAAACCAGCTAGGGCAGGAACCAAGCTTTTTATTGTCATTTCTAAATGTTGCAGGGCTTTCTCCTTGATACATAATTCAATCCACATCCTGTGTCTGGATTTTTATTGTGCCTGTAGCTTCATGTTCCCTGTGTCAGGGATGACAGGCACCTTTATCACAATACCAGGCAAGGTGGAGAAAGCAGCGTAATGCACACAGTTGGCTAAGATGGTGACCTATCTAAAAAGGATGATTTTTATAGTCTCAAAATTAGGGCACACTGCTTTCTAGTTCTTATTAGAAACTCCCAAGATGCTGCTGCCTTTTCTTTCTTATTTTTTATTTTTTTTTTTAATATGTGAAAGTGACCTTATTTGACCAGAACTTCGAAGTTCTCTATAGAAAACCATGAGGCTGTAAATGGTTTACTGAACTCGTCCTTTGTCCTTGTCCTCCTGCAGCTCAGCCTGAGACCTACGGTGGCAGAGCTACAAGCTCGAAGGATCCTGCGGTTTAACGAGTATGTAGAAGTCACCGATTCTCCCGACTACGATCGCAGGGCAGACAAGCCCTGGGCCAGGTTGACACCTGCAGACAAGGCAAGAACTCAAGTGTCTTTAGCTGTGATTTCATGATTTATGATTTTATTGCTTTTCTAGAAGTGCCAGTACTCACTTATCCCCATTCAGCCATGTAAGGAGGCTTGATATTACTCAGTGTCCCAATAATTTTTTTGCCTTTCATTGTTTAAGCCACTTATGTGACATATGAAGTTCTTTCAACTAAGTCTCAGGAAGAAACTGTAATTCTCATGGTCTGAAAAATATTGCATATTTTGCCCTGGCCAGGTGGCTCAGTGATTTGGAGCATCGTCCATCCCATGCACCGAACGCTTGCAGGTTCAGTTCCCAGTGAGGGTTGTGGGCTCGTTCCTGGTCAGGGTATGTGTGTGAGGCAACCAATCAATGTTTCCCTCTTGCATTGATGTGTTTCTCTCTCTCTCTCTCTCTCTCTCTCTCTCTCTCTCTCTCTCTCTCTCTCTCACTTTAAAAATCAATAAAAACATCATTGGGTGAGGATTAAAAATAATAATGCATATTTGGCCTCAGTGCTATCTCCTGGAGGCTTGGTTAGTTTCAATCTTAGAAATACCTAGTTTTGGCTCAGTTACTTCCCATTGGTCCAACCCAGCACCATTCTGACTCCAGTGCCACCACATCAACCTACTTCTTTCTGTTCCATATTTTCAACAAAAGCAGTCCCATTTACACTTACATGAAGAGTTATTAGGCCTAAACACTGAATAGCAAAGAGAGTTAAGAATATTGTACATGTGGATCACTAACATAACCTATGGGAGGGGAAAACTTTTTTTTTCCTTCTCATGAAACAGTCTCAGGAAATCCCTTTAGCTAGTAAGAGGAAATAACTCTTGGAATAAAACTATGGTCCTTCTTTAGTGAATTTTTTAAGATGGATATTGCATTTCTTTAATTGGCTGTCATCACAACTTGCTGACATATATTTTCAATCATTTCCTATAATTCCACATCACATTCATGCCTATAAAGAATTCATTTCTAATTACAAGCCAGCACACACAACATGGAGATCTGAGGCAATTATCTGGATGAGTTAGGCTCTGAATCTTTCTTTACTGGGAAGAATGGAGGACTTGAAGTAAGAAGGCAGTTGCATCAGCCCCATCTTAGTACCCAATGCCCATTTGATATCTACAAAGTCACTTGATCTCCATTTCAGCATCTGTGAGATGAAAGTCTTGAAATAGTGTTGAACTGCTTTGTAACAAACCATCCCAAAACTTGGTGAACTTGAAACAACCATCTTATTTTGTCCACAGTTTTGTGAGTTAGGACTTCAGGAAGGGCTCAGCTCATTGGTTTGTTTTTTTATCCATGTGGCATCAAGGAGGGTGGTGCCTGGGGTTCCAGAATCCACTCCTGAGCTGGCTTCTCCACTAGCAGCACATCTTTGCCTTGTTGGTCCTCGGCCTCTCTCTGTATCCACACGGCATCGCATCCTCAGTGCCTCTGTTTGAACTTGGGTTTCTCACACTGTGGTTTCCCGAGGGTGGGCACACATTTTTACATGGCAGCTGGCTTGCAAGAAGAAGGAAGCAAAAGATGCTAGGCCCCCTGAACTGACACAGCCTCACCTCTGCTGTGTTCTATTGTTCAAAGAAGTTCCAGGTCTCACCCAGGTCCACTGCCAGAGAGAGAGACTCCACCTCTTGAAGAGGGAATGGCAAGGCCACATTTTCAGAGGACCATGGGGGATGTGTCTATAAATACTGAATTGGCTGTCTATGTATATGGTCACAAGCGAATTGTAAGTCTTACTAATATAAAGAACGTATAGCACACAATTTCCAAATAAAAACAAACTATACAGCACTTTTTGTAGATTCCACATCCCAACGGATTCTCACGGAATCCTTTGATTGACTTTGGCCAGACTCTTAGATCCATAAGCCAACCTACTGGGTGACATTTTCTTCTTGCACAATCACAAACTAACATTTAATTCATTTTTTTAAAAACGTGTCACAATAATGACATATTCTTCAATACTTTCAGTGTACAAAGCACTTTCAAATGTGCTCATAATTGATTCTAATAATATTATGAGGAATTCTCATTCCCATTTTCCAGATCATAAAACAGGTTTTGGAGTAAAGTAACTCGCTAAGGGTCACTGCTATTGAAGGCATAGGTAAGACTAGATCCCATGACTTCTGACTCCGAATGGACTACTTTCCACTTCCTCCATTGAAACGTTAACATTTAGAGGGGAAACTTTAAATGGTTTTTATGCCACTATCCATATTAAAATACCTTCTTTAAAAGAAGACTTTTTTATAGGTGCCAATTAGTGATTAGTATAGAGCAGGTTGGCTCTTTCAGTTGCTGGTTCTAGGTACCCAGCTTTACAGTGATTAAAGCAAAGTATCCTCCCTGTTCATCTCACTTGTGCAGCAAGATTCATTGTCTTATCTCAGTGGACTCAGGCCTACACATACCTTTATTCTTACTTCATCTTTTCTAAAGTTCAGTAGCAAGAATTGCTCTTCAAAGAAAAAAATATCTCTGTAATCACTTCCCAGCTACCGGCTCCCCATAGAGTCAGTCAATAGGGGCTAAGGAATATGTTTGAGGAGACAAAGCAAGCTGTGACAATAGGATTTAAGAATCACAGTGAAAGGGGCGTTGGGAGAAAAACTTGGATGTTGCTGAGTGACCATGGTAGGGGAAAGCTAGAGACAGGCCTCAGGGCTTCCTTCTGTGCTTTTCCTCTTCTAATTTTCTTCATTTTCCCACCACGAAGTAGGTTTCCTTATCTGTCAGTGAAGTGATTCTCTGTGGCTTGTTATGTTTTGGCTGAAGAGTCCATTTTTTTCACAGAGCTTTTTTATTAGTGTTTTTAAATTTACATGAGGAAACTATTCTTTTTTTATTATTTCAGAGAAGAGAGGAGAGGGAGAGAAAGATAGAAGCATCAATGATGAGAGAGAAAATCATTGATTGGCTGCCTCCTGCACTCCTCTCCCTGGGGATCGAGCTGCAACCTGGGCACGTGCCCTTGACCAGAACTGAACCCGGACCTTTCAGTCCACAAGCCAATGCTTTGTCCACTGAGCCAAACCAGCCAGGGCAGGAAACTATTCTTTGTAGAAATGTTAGGATATAAAGATAAGCACACAGTGGAAACCAAAAACCATCTGCAATCCAGCCACTATTAATTGATAACTGATGTTAACATTTTGATGAGTATCTCTGTTGTTCAGCCTGAAGGACCCAGCATCTACATGGCATGGATTATGTGCTCACTGAACAGTCATAGTGACAGCATTCTGTTTGGTATTTTATTTGAGAGGCTTTTAAATGCTGTGCTGAACCTTTCAATTCTAATTATCCTAACTTTCGATATGAGAGAATAAATAGCAACTGCCTTTTCAGTAGCTTTGTGGCAACTGCCTAGAGCCGTGTCACTGTGTGTGTGGTATTAAATGCAGAACTTACACAGGGAAATGATATTGTTTCTCAGGAGATCTCATGGCCTGCGCTACCCTTGTGGTCATGGGAGTGACTCATAGGTCAGATCCCAGGATGCATTTAGGAAAGGCCTCCTTTCTCTACCTTGACACTTGAGAGAAATCTATCCCGGTTTTAGTTTGCAAGTAGCATGACACAGCACCTAGCATACCGTTTCCTACGAGAAATTAGGAATCCCTTTCCCCAAGACATTTCTTTCTTGCTTGCTTTTTTGTTGTTGTTGTTGTTCTTTGTTAATCCTCATCCGAGAATATTTTTCCATTGATCTTTTAGAGAGAGTAGAAGAGAGAAACATTGATGTGAGAGAAACACATGTGCCTCCTGCACACACCCTGACTAGGGCCCCAGGGCCCAGGTCGGGGAGGAGCCTGCAACCAAGGTGTGTACCCTTGACCTGATGGAACCCAGGCCCCTGCGGTCCGCAGGCTGACGCTCTATCCCACATGTGTCAAACACAAGGCCCGCGGGCCAAATCCGTCCCGCCAGGCCTTGCAATGTGGCCCGCACCGCGCTGTCATCACTGCACTCCGCTGCGTTTCCATCACAATGACAGTTTATGACTGTTTAGTAAACCATTCGGCCTGCGATTTAGGCTGGATTTTAGATTTTGGCCCCTTCTCTGATTGAGTTCGACACCCCTACCTATCCACTGAGCCATGCCGTCTAGGGTTCTCCCAATACATTTCTTAAAAGAAGGCCTGCTTCGTTGATGAAGGGTATGCCAAGAAAATATGTGACCTAAGTAACAGTTCTGTATATATACTTTCTCCTATTCAGGCAGCAATACGGAAAGAACTAAATGAATTTAAAAGCACAGAAATGGAAGTGCACGAAGAGAGTCGGCAGTTTACAAGGTAAGTGGACACAATTCAGTTTAGCATATTAAAAATGATCAGGATGGTAAATTTTATGTTATGTGTATTTTACCACAATCAAATTTTAAAAAAATAAAGTCTAACATAATACCCTCTAATGAACATTTCTAAAATTAAATCTTGTTTTTTTTTTTCTCTCAAAGAAGTCTGAGTCATTCTAAAAGGCTATATTTGGTTTCTTTTTATTTTCTGGGTGAGAAGACAAGCTTTTTGAAGAGACTCGTTTAATGTTTTATGCCCTGAACAGATGCTGGTGGGAGCCGGTGTGGGCACTTATGTGTCTGCTTTGGTCTCACAGCAGACATACTCAGAGAGGGGAGAAACTCAGTTTTCAGAACATGTCACTTAAAAATAGGAATCCCATGTCCACCGGTGCCACAGAAGTTCTCTGAAATCCTGCCATCTTTCCTCCCAGCACAATTCACAGGTGTTCTGGATATTTCTATCTCAGAGGTTTACATGCTTTGCCTTATACAACAGGTGCATTCCTAAAAATGTGCAAGTCAATCCAATCCTTAAGAATTACATTGTTAGAAGACAAACCAAATTAGGTGGCTCTGTGTAGACTTCCTTCTGGGAAACATGTAGGCTGGAAACAGCCTCTGGAGGGCAGTCCTACATCAGGTGCCACTGTCAGTGCTGAGGCACTGGGGTCTGTGAAGCTGCTGATGAGAGCAGGTGGCATGATGGAAGGAGGATTTAATAGCAAACCTCCTCCCTGACATTCACGGGGCCTGCCTTGCTCCACAGCTATTGTTCCTATAATAACAGTGTCTGGTGTGCAGGAGAAACTCCCCTTTCTGCCAGTGACATTTCTTGTTTGTTTTGTTTTCTCCAATGGCGTGTTTGTTTGTTTATTTATTTATTTAGAGTGTGTGTGTGTGTGTGTGTATGCGCGCGCGCGCACGCAAGAGAGAGAGAGAGAGAGAGAGAGAGAGAGAGAGAGAGAGAGAGAGAGAGAGAGAATGAGAATGCATACAGGATTTTCAGGCATCCTGAATGAAAGGGGCTTCTCTCTGAAGGCTTCATGCTGTCACAATCTCTACATAGACCCATCACATGTCAGTATCAAGCCAGACCTGTGTCCTCTCTTTTACTCCCTTTGACTTCTGGGGTCAGGAGAAGTTCTTGCTAATTTCTGACACCTGTGGTCACACTGTGGTAGTAAAGTTGATCAGAATAAGGTGGCTGGATATTTATGGTAACATCGAACTGGCTGGGGCCTCCAGGCACCTGGGAAGGTGGCATTTTTCATGTCTTTGAGTCCTGACCCCTGAGATGTAGTGACTGTATCAATCCAGTCTTTGTCATTCAAGATTATTTTACTCCTCTGTAGTTTTCCTAGAAGTTGTAGTATTTGTTCCCCTCATTTCATTTGATGGCATTATATAAAGAATAAATTGTAATAAAAAATAATTAAAATTTAAAATGCCTTTTTATGGAAGTCCTCATTTTATGAAAAAGAAGCATTTATACCAGAAGAGGCTCTTTCTATTCTGTTGGACTCTATAAACAAGTAAAAAAGGAAATAAGATGCAGGGAAAAGTAAAGGTCATTTCTTTTTCACAGATGTCTTTTTAATGCGAACAAATAATAGTCTAAATAAGCTTTCAAACAGTGTAAAAAATTGTCAAGTAAAATTGAAAACTCCCTTCAGTCCTTCCTCAGTTTTATTCTCATTCTAACCAGTAACCACTGGTGAAATTTGGTGTAGATCCTTCTAGACATTTTTTTCTGTGCATTTACAAACATTATATATATATATATATATATATATATATATATATATGCATATATATATATGTACACACACATCTGCCTATATATACACATTCTCAGTCACATACAAAACAGCATTCACAAAATTTTTCCATATTAGTATATATCTTATTCATTTGAATGATTCTATGGTATTTCATCAGTAATCTGCCATAACTTCCTGAATAGGTTATTCTATTGATAGATGCTTATGGAATTTTTAGTTTTTCATTGGTAGAACAATGGTGACTTTTGACTTTCTTTATAAATGTATCTTTTTTGCGCACACACCACAAGTATTTCTGAATTAGTCCCATAAGTGGATTTCCTAGGACACGGGATATATATTTTGATATTTTGAGAGATACTACAGTTTACGACCACGCCTGGTCTGTTAACCCTCGGCAGCATTTGGGGGTGATGATGGTAGAGCGGAGGTCTGTAGTCTAGAGAATGAACATTAATATCCTAGTCCACTGATTTCTGTAGAGTTGAGTATCTTTACATACCTTTATTGACCATTTCTTTTTCATTCTTTGATTTGTCTTGACCAATTTTCTTTTGAGTTGTTTATCTTTTTCTTGTGGATTAGTAAAAACTCAGATATTGAGTTGCTACATATCACAATACTTTCCCCAAATTTATTGCTAACATTGTAACTTTTTTATGGTTTCCTATTTAAATGTTTTCATATTTAAATTTGTCTATATTGTTTTTTGTTTTTTTGTTTTTAATTTATTGTCTTGTGTCCTAAAGAGGGCCACGATTATAAAAGAACTAGAGGCCAGTGCACAATAGTCGTGCACTGAGGGCGGGGATGGGGGGTCCCTCAGCCCGGCCTGCACCCTCTCACAGTCTGGAACCCCTTGGGGTCCTTGGCACTGCCACAGAGGCTAGAGAGGCTCCCGCCACTGCCGCTGTGCCAGCCGTGAGCCTGGCTTCTGGCTTCTGGCTTCATAGCGCCTCCTCTGTGGTCGATTTGCACATTAGCCTTTCATTATATAGGATTACCTTCAATTTTTATTTGTTTTTTTGTTTGTTGTTTTTACACTTAGATCTTTCATCCATTGGGCAATTATTTGGGTTTGTGATTCAATAGAGTAAACTAGTTTTACTTTATTCTAAATCAATAGTCAATGTCCCACTGCAATTTATTTCCCCCTCCATGTAAAATTTTTCTTTTACTGTACACGTGGGTCAGTTTCCAGATTCTTTAGTGTGCTCTAGCAAGCTATTGTCTATACTTGTACTTGTCACACTGTTTACTTAGAATAGTACATTTTATAGTATATTTTTATATTTGGCAGGGTATTTTCTCAACTTGAAAATTCTGTTGGTTGTTTTTCTGTATTTGCTCATATGCAGAAATTAAGAGTATGCTTGTTGTGTTCCACAAAATAGTCTATTGATATCTTCATTGTTTAAGTAAATATGAATAGATGCAAATAGGGATGAACTTCATTTCAAAAGAAAATTATAGACTTGGGGAGGGGGGTAATAGCTGCTATCAAAGGTAAGTTTTAAAAGTTTTTTAAAAAATATATTGATTAACATGCTTTCAAATGTCTTTCCAGATAAGGAAACATTAAATATTCATATCACTGAGATGAATATGCTTTGCTTAAGCATTCTTAAAAACTTGGCAGGAAAGCAAATCTCTACTGTTTTTCCATTCTTTTCTATTACATCATTAGACTTGCCTTTTGGCTCTGAGACTTGTGAAAAGCATGCATGATTATCAGATTGTTTTCATTGTTTCTTTTAGGAGGGGAAAGTTTTGGTAAACTCTGCTGTGTCTCATCCTAATGATACAAATATACGATAATGTTTTACATTTAGAAAGCTGCTCATGTAGAAGATAGTGGTGTTTTAGTGCTAGCCACCCTTGGAGGGCATAAACAAGCTGTTGATCATTACCTAGCCTCTTAGATACAACCTAGATACAGAGCAACTCACTTATTAGCTCTTCTTATTAGTGTCAGACATTATCTCCTTACATCAAGTAAACATTTCCTTTACAACCTAAATCTATTAACTCCCGGGGCATTCGGGGGTGTTAAAGGGTTGAGACAGCCCTGCTCCCTCTGCCCAGGTACCTCGTTATCCAGAGATAATCTCCCACACAGTGATGGATCAGTCAACACTGGAAGGAACTATTCCCATATGTAGCTTTTTTTTTTTTTTTCTTTTGTATCTCTGTAGAAACCAAAAATGCTGATTACATTGGTTGCCTCTGGGAAGGGGAACTGGGGAACTGGGATCAGGCATGAGAGGGATTCTTTTCACTGCTGACTCTTTGAGCCTTTTGAATTTTTTAAACATAGGCTGTATTACATAGTCAAAAAAAGCCTTGAAAAAATAAAGGATCTATTCCCTACTCTTTTTGTAAATGAGAAGTTCATGGTGATGACTTTCCCTGAATGATGTGCTGGTGCTAATATTAAATGTGACACTCCTGCTGTTGGTGTACCAAGAGGACACCTTGGACCCCCGTCATGAGTACATCCTGGGACATGTTTGGTCTGTGGCGATGGGTGAAGAATGGTAGTGATGCGTTCTTTCCTCTAGTTCCCCAGGTTTCTCCCAGGATTTTGCAAATATCCGTCTGGAATTAGAATGGACTTTAGTTCCCTGTAACAAGGGTGAGGACCAGTGGGCCCTTCAAGAGTTCATTCTGTGGCCTGACAGGTACCAAGCCGTAACCTTGGTCCCTTAGAACATTTGCTGCTTATCCAGCCTGTCACATCCTCTATTGTCCCCCGGAAGCAGCTGCCCGCCTGCACCACTGTTCAAAATCCCAAAGACCATAGGAAGGGCCATTGCGTTCTGAAAGGAGATCACCGTGGCAGAGGAAAGCCACTTCCTGTTCCATAGTAAATGGAATTTCTGCAACTTAAAACCATTCTCTAAACCAGGGGTCGCCAACCGCTGGTCCGTGAGGTCCAAAAGGTTGGCGACCTCTGCTCTAAACCGTAAAGGCAAATTGTATGGAAGGTCAGCTTTTATTTAAAAGCTAATTTTAAAAACAAAAAAAAACACTAAATTTTGAAATGGCTACAGCTGAGTACTAATATTATGGGTAATTATATTTTTCTTCTGGAAATGCTGTTTTTCAGTGTTTTTGTGTCAATGTGTATAAGATTTATAATCAAGAGAACATTATTTTTTTTAACTGAGTTTTGTAAATAACATTTTAGGGTGTAAAATGTAGTACTTATATTAAGGAATATTATGAAAGATTAATAGAATCATTGAATTGATGCTCTTAGAATAAAAACAGGCCTCAAGGGATTGTTGACATAATGTTAAGTGGAAAAATCAGGACACTGATATATGGCAGCAGTGTGTTTTATTTAAAATTCAGACGCATAGAAAAAAATTAGGAAATGATATAAAAAACCCTTAATGGTTTGTTATACAGTGGGATTATAGTGTTTTTGTGTTTTTTCTTTTCTCTACTTTTCAAATTTTCTTGATGTGGTTATGTTGAGGTGTGTGTCTGTGTGTGTGTGTGTCTTTAAAGCAATTATCTCATTCTATAACATCTTGTGATATTACTCTCTTAGGTGGGTTTACAGATAAAATAAACCACTCAGCTTCTAGATATGCCTATGAAAATGGAAGAGGGCAGAAAATACACATGAAACCAAAATGAAAATGAGGAGTCCCCCCCAGAGGAAGGAGAGGGCCGCTTCTGCAAAGCGCTTTCTTCCATGGGTGCCCCATGTCCTCGCTTCCTGGACAAAAACCTAACAGCGTTGCAAAATGCTGCTTTACCCACCAGAGTTGAAATTGTGGCACAGCATTTGAAATAACAAAATCCCATCCAACCTGCGGTCTGTTTTCTTGGGTAGAGCAGGGAGCTGTGGTTTAGGAGAACCTCCTCACTTGTTTAACATACTAGCGAGTGTGCGTGCAGGACACGTAGACCCTTTTAAAGAAAGGCAAAGTGAGTTATTCAGGAATAATTAGGGACGTATAGGAAAGTTCATATTTTATATTTGTGAATAATTTTATATTTTATATTACCTGAATGCATTTAAAGGAGTACATTTTTTTAAAATAAATTACGGAGGAACCATATAGAAAAGAACTTTTTTACGGGAAAGAAATATTTTTTTCTGCAATCCATGACTAACAAAGAGTTTCCCCCCCCGCCCCCCTATTTACTTCCTCTCAATAGTATGGAAATAAGGAAAGTGTTTTTGCAGTTTTAACAAGAAGCAGAAAATATGGATAACTCCAAATTTGAGTCTCTAGAAAGTTCTGGAGAGAGAAAAAAGAGCAGCCGGGAAAACTTAAGTATCCTTAGGGCACAGTAAATGTATTTATTGCTCCATCAACTGGAAGCCTAAAGCCAAAGTGTCATTCTGTGAGATAGGCAAACTTCTCAGGAAGCAAAGCTGAACTTCTTAGGTTTCAAAATAGATGCAAACCACCGAGTGGTAACAAACTGAAGAATAGTTTGCATTTTCCGTACCTCTAGCAGAAAATTTTAGAGCTGAATTTGAACATAGGATGCCTAATTTAAACAGGATGTAAGCGCCCTTTCCTGGTTGGATAGTGTTTTTAGCAAACCTATCAGCCCACATGAAAAGCGGGAACAGTTCTGAACCCCGGGTTTGTGGACACATGATTGCATTCTCCCTATTAGTTGGTCGCCTTCCTCTCTTAGCCGCCCTTGAAGCTGTGCTGATGGCCTGTGACTCCCATGCCATCCAGACCCTGGAGCTCACTCTCTAGTGGGATCCATGGACAGACTGTGTCTGCAGGGGGAAAAAACAAAAACCTTCCAGTGCAAATTTTAGAAATGTTTTTACAGGACACTTTCCAGGAAAATGCTGGGCTTTAGAAGGCTCTCAGTCCCTTTAGGTCCGCTGACTGCTCACTTTGTTTCCCAACCCGATTTTTAATTTACCGTCTTCATTCCATGGGCTTTCCCTATGGGGAGAGAAAGCCTCTCTTGTTGTGTTCCCCCAAACTGTCCTTTGGATCCAGGACATTGCCGAGTGCTGGCTATATGGAGCCCAGCAGATAAGGAGAGGGCTAAAGTAATGGCTAAATTACGTGAGTTTGAAATGCCTGGGAAAGCTGGACCTCACAGAGAGGGGTTTATACTACAGGGAGCTGTCTGTTTGTGTCAACAGGCCCCAGGCTCCGCTCCCTCCTGGGGTGTGGGCAGTGCTGTGCTCCCTGCAGGGAGGGAGCCATCCTGCTTGTGGCAGACCCAGGGCCACCGCTGGACTGGCTTTCCTAGTAATTGCAAGAAGATTGTTCAGGGCCCAGGGGTAGGAGTTGCCAGTATGAGGTGTTAGCCTAGAAGCATTTTAAAAGGTAGAACATTTAACAAGATAGAAAGTGCAAGGGCAGGCTTACAAAAAAAAAAAAAATCATCTGTATGGTTGTGGGCATGCTTAGTATGTTGCCTATAGAACGTCTGGAAGAAAAATCCAGCAGGCGTTTGGAAATTCAGGTGTAGAAAGTAGATTTGACAGGAACTGGTTTGGCGCAGTGGATAGAGCATCCGTCTGCGGACTGAGAGGTCCCAGGTTTGATTCCAGTCAAGGGTATGTGCCTTGGTTGCAGGTGCATCTCCAGTGGGGGGTGTACAGGAGGCAGCTGATGGATGTTTCTCTGTCATTGAAGTTTCTAACTCTCTATCCCTCTCCCTTCCTCTCTGTAAAAAAAAAAATCAATAAAATATTTAAAAAGAGAGAGAGAGAGAGAGAGAGAGAGGGAGAGAGATTTGGAGTCCTCAGTGGGAGGTGATAAGTGGCTAAAGATAATGAGATAGTGACTATTTGTTGGTGTTTCCTTGTATAACAACAAACCAGATGTAACCAAAACCTTTATGAAAATCTCCCTCTGCTCAGTACAGCTTAGAACATGATCCTCCAGGATAGTGGGGCTTTGTGGGTCGGTGGCTCAGCATCCTGGGAGGATGTAATCAGCATCTTTAGTGCAGGGCTGCCTCTGCTTTCTGACGTAGCATTTCTAGCAGCATTCTGTTGTGACAGTAACTTATAGCAGTAATTCATTGGCGGGCTGTCTGATTACAGCCACCTCTGATTACAGACATTCCCATGCCTTATTCGGCTCACTGAATGCAGCCTGCGTCTCTGTACCACTCACTCACTCAGTGTTTCCATTTTCTTATTCCAGGTTCCATCGTCCGTAATGAGGTGTGAGACTCTTTGGAAACATAGACGGACAATCTTTGGGGGAAGCCGCACTTCCTAAACCCCTGACATTGCATTGCACTGGGATCTGACTGTGTCTGTCTCCATTTAACTTGCGGTGAAGGAAGCGCGTGGAAAGTGCTCCCCGCCTGTACAGCCCAGATGTGGCCAACAAGCATAGGGTCGGGTATAGTGACCCTGCTGTCCAGCATGGGCACTAGTTGGTAAGGGCCACAACGGTTGCACCAGTTATTCTTCATCAGGGGTTTTAATCAAAGAAGATGAGCAGAAGACAATCGCTGGCTCCCTGTTACCGGAAAGCCAAATTTCAGAGTGCAGGTTAAAGGAGGGGGTGGGGGGGATAGAATGGCTGGGCACTGGTAAGACGTGGGGGTTGAAAAACAGAAAGAAAGAGAAAATTTCATTATGTTAATGAAAAAAGAAAATTGAAACTTAAATGTATTTTTGAAGAAGGCTTTTGATAGCTGAGAACTTATTAAGGGCTTGGGGGTCTAGTCACCCCCTTTGGATTCCTTAGAGACCTGATCCTAGAAGAATATTCTTTCACAGTTACATTGGTGCAGTATAGTACCATTATTTTATATTGTGCCAGTGAATCTAATTGCCACAAATAAGTCTGAGTGTTTTCATGCATCTTTTTCTTAAATGCAAGAAGCTTTCATGGACCTTTATCAAGCATGCTTACCCAAATTCTGTTGCATGCTTTAAGTACCATAGCTATACACACTTCACTTTTTTTTTTTTTTTTAGACTCTTTACCTAATGCACCAACCTCCCATAAGGATGACAAGACTTGGAATAAAGTCAGATGAGATGTGACCCTATTAGTATGTAGCAAGCTTTAGAAATAAATATTTTGGTCTTTTCCTAGCTTGATGATCTCCAAAGTCGAAACAACCATGCTTGATCTAAGGAAGATAGTACCGACAATCATATCTTTTTTAAAATTCTGAATCCAAAATTAAAACTTAAGCAAGATGCAGTGTTCTGCCCGCAGTTAGCTTTGAGTAGGACTGCAAAGGAATACTTATTTTCAGTGTTGCATTAAGTTGGATTGCTGCTATTAAAAAGATAAAGCACATAGATTAAAAAAAAAATACCCAAAGACATATAAAAACACGGAAAAATTTTGCTAAATTGGGAATGAGGAAAATTTCATTTTCTGTTTTATATCTCTGTAGATTGCGTCCATAAATATAATATTGACTTTCAGTGCAAAAAAAAAATAGGTGACTTTAAAGTTATGGAAGGTGTCCTTATGAGCCTACAGTCAGTACTGTTTACATTACTAAACCCTCTATTATCATCTTGCTATTTTCCATGGAGTCACAGGCACAGCATGGCTTCTGCTCTCAAACATGGGACCACATGTAAATACTACCTTGCATTTCATTGTTCACAATTGTTTTGGGCCCCTTTTTATTAAAAACACATGCTTTGTCTAATAAGACAAGACTTAACTAGATGTCACTTTATTCTCAGAAGTTGGACTACAATTTTCTGAAATGATTCTGATTCATAATATGGAGGAATGTAATTTTCGATCTCAACCAAAAAGCAAACTTTTCATCTGGTGGGTAAATTTGGATCCTGCCATTTATTTATATTTGATATTTTAAAGAACTCCTTGAAAAGAGGGATGGTTTTGCTTAAAAGAAAAAAAAAATTGGCCCCACTTAGTCTATTACAAAAAAACAGGACTATTTATAACTAAGAAAAGTGACCAGCATTGTTGCACCACTTGCCGCACTCAGCCACGTGCTGCTAGTGAAATGGCGCAGGATATCTGCACTGGTGTCATTTCAGGAATAGGATCAGACATATTTTTGCTCTGAAAAAATGTTTCTGCAGGCCCAAGTAGGTTTCATCCATTTCATAGTGCTTTCATCCAGCTATAGACATGACCTATGTTCTCATTTTTTGCTGCAGTCGTCCTCTACCTTACATATTTTATTATTATTTGTTGTCTTAGGAAAAATACCTAGGAATCTAATGTTATTTTAATTTTCTATACTTACGTTTTATTAACAAATCACAAGGCCTCACTCCCATAAAAGTGGTAAACATAACACATCACTGTTTTATCACTCACTATACGTGTCAAAGGAAGTCCCCACTTAGTCAATAAAAGGAAGATTTTTTTCCCCTCTAGTGGTGCATGTAATGGGATTTTTTATTCCTACAATGAGTGCACTCAAACAAAAATGAGAATCTGGTGCCTCGATCCATTGTTTTTCTTGAATGATAGGTCAGATTTATGAACTATCCACACTTCTTCTGCCTACTGATTTATATGCTTACAGAAAATTTTAAGAGACAAGCTTAAAAGTTAAAAGAAAGTAAAAATAAAACTGTGGCTAGTCTAATATATAAGACTTGGAACCACCAGGTACTTTTATTAATTGGTTCTTTAAATACAAAGCTGTGGAAAGAAACGAAGGATTGTGAACCAAGCTGTATTCTGCAGAATAGGCTCTATTTTAATAGCTAATCCTAAAAGGCAGGAACACTGCATACCCATCCCAGCAGCCCATCCAGAGGCCTCGTGCTTGGGAGCCCTGGAAAGATGTGCAGGTGTGAACACACCCCACCCCCACCCCCGCAATACAAGTATGCCTCTGCCTGAGCCTTTCTGCAGTTTCAGCATTTCTGCAACCTGACCCACACACTGCACGTCTGTAGAGAAAATAAATGTGTGTGTTCATCGTGTTGTTGTGACACAGCTCCAGGTTAGGCTGAAGTGTGTGGGTTCCCCTGAGCCCCCAAGATATGGGGGGGGGGGGGGGGAGGAACATCCATCTCCAGGAAGGTGCCAGGTGTGAAAGAACTAGACAGACTGTAAGCAGCCATTTCCATCATGCTTAACATGGAGAAAGGAACATTAGCATTAAGGGATTAAAAAGATGCCATGGACTAAGCATCTTCAGGGTCATTACCAATCAGCCTGACAAATGAGACCTCTGGTGAGCAGCATTAATTTAGGGCAGCCTGCCTGATGGTTTCCTGTGTATGTGAAATGTCTTGCATTTTTTATGGTCAATATTGTTCACTCTTATGTTGACACCTTAAATTATTTACATTAAATCTATAATATTCAGAGAACCATTTTGGGTATTTCAGTAACTTTTAAATGGAGGAAAAGGCAAACTCATCTCTCTCTCCCTCTCTCTGAAAAACTGACTTTCTGGTTTTTTCTATCCTATATTAAGCACAATGATTTTTCACTTACCTTTTTCTACTGGTAGTAAATATAATCTGTAAGTAGAAAGTTCTGAAATTTAAGTGAAGATCTATTTAAAGAACTAGTGGAATTGAATATACCCTTCAAATATGACCCAATATTGAAAATGACAGATAAGTTCTTTAAACCCATAATTTGGGTTTTATACACTGCAGTTAATTCAGTGCTGCACTAGCACTTTCTTAAAAAACATAGCAACTTGTAGGAGAGAAAAATCTGCTACACGCCTATAAGTTCCACACTTTAACACATAACAGCCATTGTATGTATTCTTAATGGAGTCAGACAGACACAACTTTCAAAAATTATACTATATTCTCAATAGAAAAAGGAGGTCTTATCTACCGCGTATCAGTATGCCTACATTTAAACAGGGAAGGTTTCTTTTCTTCCTTTCTTGCTCAGAATTTTCTTCGGTGTTATTATTTTATACGTGGTCCCAGCTGCACATTTCACAGAGTGAGAAATCTCTTTCAGAATAGGTGAGAGGGAATCAAACTTGTACAAGGCATATAAATGTATATCATTTCATCAGCATGGTAGCTCATGCATTCCTAAATTCCCATCATATTTTAAGCCTAACTTTACTAGTAAAAGTATATACTTTCAAACAACAGTTCATTTATTCACATTGCTAGGATATGCAGTGTACACTAACAAACCACTTAGATGCAGTTTCATACAAAGTTGTCTCTTGGCCACTATTGAGTATTTTGCTCTCTCTACTGGTACTTATGGCTGGGCTATTTCAGTCTGTTTTATTTTACTAAGCAGAATGAAATTCTAGAATTAAGGTCCTAGAGGAGAAAAGGAATCATCAAATTAATAGGCCCATCTTCCTGAGAGAAAGCACATTTCCGGCTAGTTCAAACCCAAGTTTCAAAGAGTAGTGTGTGACTCTACTATAATTTGGCCAGGACAAAGGCAGAATACTCCCAAACCATTTTCTCCCCCCCTCTCTCTCTTTGGGTAATCATTATGCTTTATCTCTGTATGGAAATGTGCACCGCCATTAGTATTTCTAGAAAACAACAGAAACATAGGCTATATAAGCTTTTTCAAACACAGGGCCATCCCAAATTAGTAAATCCCATTGTATGTACTGTAAGATTTCTAGAAAGGCAAGGGGGTCATTTTTAGCTATGGTAGGATTTGCTGCTCCTGTGCATACACACACACACACACACGCACACGCACACGCACACGCATGCACGAGCGCGCGTGCGCTATTTTGCTTGTTGCATTGTTAGCCCAGCTGTACATATGAGCAAAGCACTGTGGACCAATGTTTCTCAATGGGGATGCTGTTGGCATTTGGAGCTGGACAATTCTTTGTTTGTACAGAAATGTCCCATGCATTGCAAGCTGCTTACTATCCCAGGCCCCTGCTGACTAAATGCCAGTATTATGCCCAGTAAAAATCAAATGTAAAAAGCCTTCTCCATGTTCAAATGCCTTCCTAGGAGGGCTGTTGTCCCTCCCTTGAGCCCCACTGTCTACTGCATTTTAGGGCACACAGGAAACGTGTCTGTCTCAAAACATGTCTCAGCTGCCTTGCATTTCTTTGGGCCCCCGAATCATTTCATCCCCCTTCATTTTTCGAACCTTGTTCTTTGACACAGCTCTCGTTTGCCCGTTCTCCAGGGAGGTGGTTACTGGGCAGCTGTGGCAATTCCAATGGGCCTATGCACTCAGGTAGTCCCCGGATGTACTTAAAGGAGAAGTTTCACAAGGAGCAGAGTTTCTCATTTTTTGATCTCACAATTTTACTTCAGAACTACACTGCTGCACGTAATCCTTGTCAGTCTCGTGAGGATCCATGCATAGTTTAACCACATACATGATGGTTGACAGTCCACATAAACAGAACCTGTGGTGTGTGAGCATTATCATTGGTTTTCTACCTGGGAAGCTGCAACCTATGAGTTCCAATAAACCACCGGTTTATCCTATGAAAGAAACATTTCATCCACATGCCCATGTCTGAATTCCCCCTGTACACATGTAGTCATGTAGCTCAGCTTTCCTAAAACCTGTAAATATTGAATTGTGAAGGAAATGGGGGGTAGGTGTGGATTGCATCTACATTTGCTTCTATGCTTCAATGATGATCTTGCCCAAAACAGGGTGCGTGTAACCTAGGTGAAACATTATTACACTATACTACCAACACCTAAATATACTTATTCTCTTTGTTGCTTTTTATGACTGAACCAGAATATTAAGTATGTCTTGAAATGATTTGGATGAACTGTGGCTAATAGAATGGAATTCATTTAACCACTGTAATTTTTTAAAATACTCAAATTTCTAAAACATCTTTTTTGAGAAAGAGCAACTCGGAGTCAATAAAGGTGGTAATATTATGGACTTTTAGATGGTGCTTAAGAATTCTTATCTTGTTCAATATCAGTATTTCTTTTTTTATTTTTTAAAGAATAAATTGAAGGGAGTAAATGAGGCAGAATGCCACTTCACCCTCAGGTCAATTTTATGGTATATTAAAATGCCAATAACATTTGTGCCACTTACCGATGTGGGGGAGAGGCTTACTTTTCCCTTCCTGGATGCTTTTGTTATAGTTTGACTGCACCATTATGTTGCTTAGAGAGCCTCCACAAGGAGAAGCCGCCATTGCAATGCTAACAAGGGTTCGAAAATAATCTGCACGAATTGGGTCAAACCACTTTCATTACTTAAAATATAGGCACTGATATTTTTATATATTTTTAAATATTTCTTCTGTGGCTTAGAAATGTGCCAATGTGTTCACAACATTCTGAACCGACTTCACCAGATATAGTAACCTACCTACATATATTTTTTTTTTGTCTATAAACAGTCATTTTAAAATAAAGAACTATATTTGGTCTGTGGTATTTCAAGCTTTGGTTAAAATGATGAGGGTGGTAAACTGTGACCACTAACAGACTGACTGACGGGCTGATTCCTGATTTCCAGTGAGTGGGCTGACCCTATATATTGCACAGGTGTACTCGCTGTGAGTGTAAATAACTGGAACTGTACACCGATGAATAGGACAGTTTCTCTTTTCTGTTGCTGTTGTTCTTGACCTGTACTGTATTATAGAATGTGGGTATAAATAGCTCTGAGTATACACACATATGTATATGTATCCCACTATCGTAACCTGAAAGAAAGACTATGTATTATCTTTTTTTATTCTGTACTGGTGTTTGTGTTATTTAAAAAGCAAATTTATGCTCTATTTAGTTTGTATTATATTATAGGATACCTTGCTGTGCACAATTCCAAGTGCCTTAGAACATTGTTTAGCTTTCTTAAGTATATAAAAATGCATATATGTATAAAATTGGGAAAAGTTACCTCAATAAAATCATTGGGAAATCCCCAGCTTTAGTTTGTCCCAATTTCTGTTATATTCAGACAGTGCTCAGTCTTTTTAAATTAAAAGCTCATAGAGTTCTCACCTGAACGGTAAAGCAATGCTAAGGGCTGTTTTAGTTGCCTGTTATTTCAACTCCCCAAAACTGAAAACTTTTTGTATGTAAGACCTTGTGATTTGTATTTTTTTTTAAAGTATCTAAGAACTACTCTTTAAATAGTAAGTTACAGTATATTTTTTAAACTTGCTGTCTTTTATATCTGAGTATATTTGATATTGATGTTTTTATTGACATTTTTATGTATAAAAATAAAAGGTAGTTCCTTTAGAGGTTATACTATAGAAAGCAGCCCAGCTGGTGTTGCACAGTGGTTGAGCATTGACCTATGAACCAGGAAGTCACAGTTTGATTCCTGGGCAGGGCACATGCCCGGGTTGTGGGCTGAACCCCCTGTGGGGGGTCTACAGGAGGCAGCCAGTCAATGATTCTCTCTCATCATTGATGTTTCTATCTCCCTCTCTCTTTCTCTCTGAAATCAATAAAAATACATTTTAAAGAAAGAAAATGAACAAACTTCCTCAGTATGCTTACTATTTAATGTATTATAAGCCAGGAGAGAGATTGGGAACATATTTTAACCAGAAGAGGAATTGGAATATACTTTTCATGTTTTCCAATCGTGGTTACAAATAGTCATTTATTCTCCCTTGACTCCAGGACAAGGGCAGAGGTATGAGGGAGAAGTTGAAAAGCAATTTGTGAACCTTGTAGACTGAAGATGTATGATGAGGAGCAAAATATTTAAAAGTAACATCTGAAAAATTGGCCCCGAATATGCTATTAAAAATTAGCAGTACATCCCCAAGATAGGTGAAGTAGTTCAACAACTACTTTCAATTTGTGTTCATACTAAAGCAGGTTCTACATTGAAACATTACTTTCCAAAACCCAATGGAGGTAAGAAATGGACAATGTTTTCATTGTACACAGTGCTTTGATGATATAGTATTTATTGTGATTGAATGCTTTTCGCTGGACCTCAGCTCACACATCTGCCTGGAGATGCTGCTACTGCACTGCTATCTGCAGACAAAAGTCCTGTTTATGTGTTTTGGAGCTCTTGGCCCTTTAAGAGATGGTCGATATAAAGAACACATAAAACTCTAGAGAAAGGCTAAAACCTAAAGTTTGTGTGAAGTTTTCTGCTTCTTTGCTTTAAAACAGTACCATTTTTAAAGATTTTAAGGAGAGGAAAAAAAAATCTCTTAATGTCCTAATTTGTCATAATTAGACAAATATTGTAGAGAGGAGAGAATTAGCATTTTCAATACTTGTTGACCTAAGGATTTGTTCCTGGGTGGACTTTCAACTTTTGTTGGCCCAGGTCAGACAAACTGGAGTAATAGGTGCTCTGCATTAGGAAGAATTTGCCCCTAATCATTCAGATCAGAACACTCAGCAGTTCAAGCTTAAGCCGTGGACCATCTTCCCCACTGTCAGTGTAAATTCATCATGGCTTTAATTCCGTCCCTGATTACCCCTGAAATCTTGGTAATTACCACTCTGAGTCTTCTCCAAATAATTTATTCTTAACCCTGCTACCACATTGTTCTTTGTAGCAGACAACTCTCATGTTATTCCTGCTCAGAATTTTCCAGTGAATCCCCTCTGCCTACTGGAAAACCCCCAGGTACAATACTTAATGTAGCACCACAAGCCCCAATACCAAATGATTCTCCTTTATGTCTCACTTGGGCCAAATCAAATGAAACTCATTGTTCCTCAAATACATTATGCACTCTTCCAATAGTACAATTTTATTCTCGCTTTTCCTCCTACTGGAGTTCTATTAACATCCCACCCATTCCTCTAGGAAGGATTTACATGTCTTCTACAGCTTTTGCATTTTTTAAATATTCTGTTTCTCTGGCTAGACCCAACTCATTTAAATAGCATCCTACTAGATTTATCTGTTCCATACCACTATCTAGTCTTAGTTATCCCTGAGCTCAGAATGCTATAGTTGTGCTCAGGATGGCCCAGTTAAGTATGATGAATGAGCTGAAGATGGCAGCTAAAAGCATGGAAAACTAAAGAGTACAACAATGGTTAAACCTGGAAGTTCCTTATAAACCTTCTAAAGGAGATGGGATTTATCTAAGACAAGAGGGGTCAACTCGGATAACATCTCAGATTTTCCTCATTATTCTGGCCACAGTGTAAAGACTAGATTGGAGAAGCAATATTAGACACACAATGACCATTGATTTTTTTAATGTTTAATTTTTTATTAACAGTTAACATTTAGTATTACATTAGTTCCAATAATATACATTAGTTAGTATGCATAGTGGTTATATATATATATATATATGTATGTATGTATATATATATATATATATATATATATATATATATATATCTTAAGAAGATCCCTACTGATAAGTCAAGTACCCATCTGACACCAGAGGACACCATTACTGTTGCTATAATTTTGCTGGGAAGTGATGTTGGCCTTGATCAAGGTATTAACTATTGGAATGAAGAGTCATAATGAGTTAATGACAGTTGAAGTGATAGTTGCGCACAGGAAATGAATAAAGACTATACCCACGTGTCATGTCTAGATGGAGAGTGGTGATGCCACTTGTTGAAATAAAAAACAGCAGAGGTAAGGTTGTTGCAAGATGGAAGTGGGGGTTCAGGAGGATGGGGAAAGAGGGTAGGAGGTGTGAAGAGGTCAGACATTCAACTTTGTATGTGAAACTCAATGTGTTTGAATTGCCTACCTGTTAGGACATCCATATGTGAATAGTCTGTTGGATTTGAGTCCAAGAAAACGTCTTGGCTACGGAGAGGAAGTTGAGAATCATCAGCTCTGCAACGGAAGCTGTGGCCATGAACAAACCCCTGAACAATGTAGCTTAGGACTGTGAAGAAATTGCTACAATGAAAATTGAATGAACTGTATTTTTGTTGCCTGAATTTGTCTCCAAATCATAAAATTCTTTCATTTACACATCATCTGAGTGCTTTAGAAGATAAACATATTTTTAATTTAACTGGGTTTTACTGGTTTGCATAATTTTAAATAAAAACAGAATAGTACCTTATGGAAGGGGTTAAGTTGTAAAGAAAAAATTATATTTGAAAGCTTATATTGCCCCAAATATAATATACAAACATATTATCACAATACGTCCAACATAGCCTTTGTTAATGTCACCAGTGGAATGTTTGGTTGGTTCTTTAAGCCAGATATTATTAAGAAGTTAGTTTACATTTAGGTGCTATATTGTGTATGTTTTTTTAAAAAAAGAACACCTTACCTTTAAGCATAAAATTGCACTCAGCACAGTGAGATGCTTACACTATAAGCACAGAGAAGAGGTTGATGGAAAAAAGTAGGAAAATGTCTCAGATCACCCTTAGTCCAATGGAATGACAGGCAGAATCACTCCATAGGAATGTAATCCCTCAATAGTACTACCCGTGTTTCCGCGAAAATAAGACATCCTCCGAAAATAAGACCTAGTGTATGGAAAGATAAGACATCCCCTGAAAATAAGACCTAGCACAACTTTGAGAGAAAAAAATTAATATAAGACACTGTCTTATTTTTAGGGAAATAGGGTAATAGTAATCTCTCATTTTGTGAAAGCAGAGTTAATATTATCATTAAATACATGTATGATCTAACTACTGCATATCAAGTAAAAAAAAAAAAAGAGTCTGTAAGCCGAAAGCTAGAATAAATGCAACCAATACATATCAAGAATACTAAAAATTCATTTTATAATTTAAAAGGCACAGTAGAGAAAATTAATTTGGATTAATATTTCCAAAAAGTGTTACCCATTGAAACATGTACTTTTGACTCTAAGAACAAAAGTTTGTAAACAGAAAGCCAATCAATATCTTGAGTTTGTGTCATTAAAAAGAGTTTTAAAGAACATACAGTTACTGGAGGCTAGAAGCAAGTGAAATAATCTAAGCATGTGATATGAAGGACCTGAAAGGCACCAGAAATTGAGAGGAAACCAGAGGATTGGGATCCTTCAAAGCTTAAAGTTGGATCAAGATGCAAATTTACAAATTCGCATGATGAAAACCTGAATTGAGGCAAAGCATGTGTTTCCTGACAAATCCCAGATGCTGGGGGAGGCCCGGGTTTCAGGAGATGGCCTTCCTGAGGCAACAATGAAGTTAGGTGAACAGACACTCCGGTAGGAGGAGACAGCTCGTTTCCACTGAGCCCTGACCACCAACCAGGCACAGATCCGAGTAGCTAACACACCATTTCTCATTGAACTCAACCGAACCCTGGAAGTTGAGTATTAATAACATTATCTTTCCCATTTTGCATTGAGGTAAGCACACGGAAGTCCCTTTTCCCCAGGTAATACTGTGAGAACGGAATAAACACCAGAAACCACTTCCAGTTACCATAACAAGCATACTACTGTTATTAGTATTATGGGGGAAAATGTGTGCTTCAGTGAAAAATGATGTGCTTTTTAAATAAGCACTCCCAATTCCGACTTTATGTGGGCTTTGCACCTTTCTTTGCCTCTGAGCTGTTTTCTAATTTTGTAACTGTGGAAAGCTGACAACAATGAAAATAATTCTTGTCTCTGGACATGTACATAAATTCTGTGCAGTGGAGGTACAGTTGTCTTCCTAGGTCACCAGGAAAGAAGCCAGTTTTGTCCCCTTTTACACATTCTTTTCAATATGCTTGCTCTGTAAATGTTTCTGATCTTTGGATTGCCTTCTGAACTAATTGAACCATCTTACCAGTTCCCTCCTAATGATATATTAAATAAAATCTTGAAAAAAAATATGTGTGTGTGTGTGTGTGTGTGTGTGTGTGTGTGTGTGTATGTCAGGATCTTACCATTTTAAAGAATATCCTGTAACAGTATTTATTGAAGCAGATTATATTAGTTTATATTTAAGTATCTTTACTTTTTTATATAAATAAAATACTTCAAATGGTCACTACAGATATGT